GTAATAAAAACAGCTTGGTACTGGCATAAAAACTGACATGTGGACAAATGGAATAGAATTGAAGACTCTGACATTAATCCGCACACCTATGAACATATAATTTTTGACAAAGAAGCCAAAAGTGCACAATGGAAAAAAGAAAGCATCTTCAACAAATGGTGCTGGCATAACTGGATATCAACATGTAGAAGGCTGCAAATAGATCCATATCTATCACCGTGCACAAAACTTAAGTCCAAGTGGATCAAGGACCTCAACATAAATCCAGCTACTCTGAACCTGCTAGAAGAGAAAGTAGGAAGTAGTCTTGAACGCATTGGCATAGGAGACCACTTCCTAAATAGAACACCAGTAGCACAGACACTGAGAGAAACAATCAATCAATGGGACCTCTTGAAACTGAGAAGCTTTTGTAGAGCAAAGGATACGGTCAACAAGGCAAAACGGCAGCCTACAGAATGGGAAAAGATCTTCACCAACCCCACATCTGACAGAGGACTGATATCCAGAATATATAAGGAACTCAAGAAATTAGACATCAAAATGCCCAACAGTCCAATGAAGAAATGGGCTACAGAACTAAACAGAGAATTCTCAACAGAGGAAACTCAAATGGCTGAAAGACATTTAAGGAATTGCTCAACATCCCTAATCTTCAGGGAAATGCAAATCAAAACAACTCTGAGATACCACCTTATGCCTGTCAGAATGGCTAAGATCAAAAACACTGAAGACACCATAATCCATCTCCCCCAAGATCCAGCTATACCACTCTTGGGCATATACCCAAGGAATGCTCAACCACACCACAAGAGCACTTGTTCAGCTAAGTTCATATCAGCATTGTTTGTAATAGCCAGAACATGGAAACAACCTAGATGCCCTTCAACTGAAGAATGGATAAACAAAATGTGGTACATATACACAATGGAATACTACTCAGCAGAGAAAAACAATGACATCATAAGGTTTGCACACAAATGGATGGATCTAGAAAAAAATCATCCTGAGTGAGGTAACCCAGACTCAGAAAGACAAACATGGTATGTACTCACTCATAGGAGGATACTAGATGTGGAACAAGGATGACTGGACTGTTACTCACATCACCAGGGAGGCTACCTGGAAAACAGGACCCCAAGAAAGACACGGGGATCGCCCAATGACAGAGAAATGGAATGAGATCTACGTGAACAGCCTGGACATAAGTGGGGGTAGTGAAAGGCAAGGGTCAAGGGAAAGAGAGCTTGGGGGAGCGGGAGATCCCAGCTGGATCAACAACAGAGAGGGAGAACAAGGAATAGGAGACCATGGTAAATGAAGACCACATGAGAATAGGAAGAAGCAAAGTGCTAGAGAGGCCCACAGAAATCCACAAAGATACCCACACAACAGACTGCTGGCAATGGTCGAGAGACAGCCCGAACTGACCTACTCTGGTGATGGGATGGCCAAACACCCTAATTGTCATGCTAGAAACCTCATCCAACTACTGAGGGACTGGATGCAAAGATCCATGGCTAGGTCCCGGGTGGATCTCTGGGAGTCCAATTAGCGAGAATTAGGAGGGTTTATATGAGCGAGAATTGTTAAGACCAAGGTTGGATAAAGCACAGGGACAAATAGCCAAACGAATGGAAACACATGAACTATGAACCAATAGCTAAGGGGTCACCAACTGGATCAGGCCCTCTGAATGGGTGAGACAGTTGATTGGCTTGATCTGTTTGGGAGGCATCCAGGCAGTGGGACTGGGTCCTGTGATCATTGCATGAGTTGGCTGTTTGAAACCTGGGGCCTATGCAGGATCGCTTGGCTCAGCCTGGGAGGAGGGGACTGGTCCTACCTGGACTGAGTCTACCAGGTTGATCTCAGTCCGCAGGGAAGGCTTTGCCCTGGAGGAGGTGGGAATGGGGGGTGGGCTGGGGGGAAAGTGAAGGGAGCGGGAGGTCAGGGAACAAGGGAATCTGTGGCTGATATGTAGAACTGAATTGTATTGCAAAATAAAAATAAAAAAAAAACTGGCAAGAAACAAGCCAAGCTAAGGCCTGGCATTTATAGTTAAGAAAAAAAAAAGATAGCACAAAATCTACATATTTGCACTACAGATACATTAAAATAGAGATGGAAATTTCAAGGGATGTTTTTAAAGACATACAGAAACATTTTGTTCCTTGTTCAAAGCCTCCATATAGTACCTCTTTTTAACAATTTTGCTTTTAAAAAAATAAATTTCTCCTCAATGGAAAAAAAAAAACTAGTGTAGAAATAAATACAAAGTGTTAATTGTTATTTGAATCAGAGTAGGGAGGTGCTAGTGGAGGACGCTTAGGGCAACATAGGTGGTATTGATCTCTTGAAGGACTAAGATATACCAAGGCCAGACACCTGCACTATCACTTCTGGTTCACTGTAATTCTTCTGAAGACTTTTGATCTAACAAGGCCAGGAACCTGCAATTCTGCTCTGTGAAAGTTCTATGAAGACACTTTGTATGGCCAGTATTTACCTTGTCAGTGGCTAAGGATGGAGAGTAAGACCTCTAAGTGTCTACAGTCTACATGGAACAATAGATCTAATATGAAGCATATTTAGTAAACCTTCTTCTAGACTATCCACAATGAGATGCAGTCATGAGATTACATGTACACATTAACATGGAAATGCACAGTAAATGGGGAGAATCATAGCTGTTATTGCACAAGAAGTTTACAACAAGAGACAGCCAGTTCATTCAAAAGGCCTTGTGTGATGGTCTCCTCTAACAGAACCCTTAGTTCCAATAGGTTGACCTTCTGAACTCTAGTTGTCACTGCTGTATACTCTCATGGACTATTGCTACCAGTGGCTCTCAATATTGCATGAATCCTAAACGGTCTTTTAATAAAAATCTGGAGTCAGATATTGGGGTAAATGCTGAAAGATCAGAGGAAATGAACCACAGCCACTTACCAACTCCTCAGCCAATCTTGTCTCCACGAATCCTCAGACTGAATGCCTCTGAGTCCTCAGCCGAAAGGTCTCTTAAATTCTCTTGTCTCCTCATGCCTTATATTCCTTTCTCCGCCCAGCCATTTCACTTCCTATCTCAACCTTCCTAGTGCTGGGATTAATGGCATGTGTGCTTCCCACATACTGGTAGCAAAGGCATGAGATCTCAAGAGCTGGGATTAAAGGTGTGTGCCACCACTGCCTGGCCTCTATGTTTAACTCTGGCTGGTTCTGTCCTCTGATCTTTAGATAAATTTTCTTAGAGTACAACAACCTATCACCACAGAACCCTTCTCCCCTGTGTGGTATTTGTCTGTCTGAGTCTGGCATAGAGAAACGTACACAGCTGTTTCCTGCAGCATTGTTTCCTTCAGTTTCATAGGCCATCCAATAATCCTGTTCTTTCCAGATGCAAAGCGAACAATTGGTATTTCAGGAATGAACCTTTTTGGACTAGGTGTGACAGCTAATGATTTGCCACAAGCACTCTCTGAAAACACGTTTTCAATTATGAGTCCCACACAGACAAGGAGAAAGGGACTAAAGCTGTGAGGTGCTTACAGCATGATTTCTTACAAAATATGATTGTTCTTTTTTGTGTTTATCCTGGAAACAGAACTAAGGATTGATTACATTTCAAAGTCCTTTCATGGTGTCAGTTTATACCACCTCCACTCACCTCCTGCCAAAGTAAACACTGTCATTTTCATGTCCAATTAAGGCTAGGGGGCCAGGATTGCCTCCAGTGTCTTACCTCTGGATTCTTCTGTCTTAATGTCCTACAGTTCTCCCCTACAATCTCTGAAAGCTTCTGTGTACCCTTTCACATAAGAGTAATTTAAACATTGAATGCAAGAAAAATAAACTAAGGAAGGGAAAGAGTGGAGCACACGAGACCAGACATGGTGAGAGCTCTGGTTGCTCTGGCTAACACCCCCTTGACTTTGTTTTTATCCTTTCAGCCTGACTTGGTGACCCAGGAGCTGCAGGTGCTCTCATATATCACCCCCGCACCCGCCCCCCCCAACACACACACATGGACTTGAGTCATATATAGTCTTCCTTCTGAGAATACTCGACTCTCATCTACATGGATCACAACTTCAGTCTCAGAAGCCATCCACTGTGGAATCTGAGCGTCAAGGTTAATGGATGGGCCACTCCCACTACTCCTTGGCAGATTTTATCCTTTCATGGAACACATAAATGCCAAGCAGTGAGGCTATTTTTCAATAAAACGTATCCAACTTCATATTTCTGATCAAGTGAGTCTTTTATTAGCTCATAAACATATACTCTTAGGCTCTTCCTTCAGGCATTCCTACAAACAGACATATTTTACTTTCTCCTAGCTATGAGCCAATATTTTTTGCCCCATCCCCACCCCATGAAGCCTATTCAAACTAATATCACTGTATCACTTTTTGGTGTTCTGAATTTCTTCCATTCTTAGTTTTTATCAGTTTTTATTGAGTATTAGATCTGGAAGCATGGAAATGTAAAAAATGATGACTGAATGAATGAGAGAACGGTGACTAATAGATAGAAAAAAAATGTTTTATTTATCAGTTCTCTGAAAATACAAAAACAATGTCTTTCTTAGAAAGTCCTAAGAACAGGACTCCAGTAAAACACTTTACTCATGGTGTCTTCAGTCATTTTGATAATCTGTAGTAGTGAAAAGAAAAGAACATTAACATGGGCTTGGGTTTCCATGAGCAAGCAATGTCCTTGCCTCTAAGTATAAATAGGGTGGTATCTAAGACAGTTCAATGAATACAGGAGGAAATGAAATAATTACAGATAATTACCCAACCATCAGTGCCACAAACTAGCTGAGAGCTGAAGAGGCACCAGGCCTCTCCAACACATGTTTTTCTATAATAATATGCAATATAAGCAAAATGATTTCTAAGAAGAATGTTTATGTAGACTTTCTTGGAGGAGGAAATTTGGAAGACAAGCCAGAGGAATTCTGGCTACCCTTTACAGGAGTATGAATCGTTTACCTTTGTGGCAAGGAGCACTGTACTCAGCAACTGCAAACTCCTCTGAGAGAAAGAGAAAACAGAAACAAACACCATTATGTGATGTCACTATGAGCATCTCCGATTGCAATGGAAATGCCCATGTCATTCCCCTGATGCACTGTTTGCTGCCTTGGGCATCCTTCCAGGTACAATGAGCCACATCTTCTTTTACTCCAGATTCTTGACAGTCAGTCGTTATACATCCTTAAATCTCATATTGTCCTACAATTGGTCTATCCAACAGGAAGTTAACTGTGCAGCTGTTTGGTTTTGCTGGTTGATATATTTAAAATGTGATTTCTCCCATAGAAGTAAGGAGATTAAAAAGTCAAGTATCCAACCTGATGGAGACAACACTAAGTGATGAGAAGCCCGTGCTAACAAGTCACCCAACACATTCTTGAGTCCTGTGATCAGAAGTTGGATATCTCTGTTCAGGTGGCTCACACTCACCTTTCTCATAGTAATCATAGACCTTCACTATGGCTGGCTTTAAGTCTCTTATTAGAATATCTTGCTGAACCATGAAGGACAAGTTTATCATTTCACTTGACACCTGGAAATCAAAAGGAGCTCAGTGACTTTCCTGGGAGCTTTCTTCTCACTTTGAATAAACAGATAAGTATTGATTAGGGTTTTAGGGGGTGGGGGCTTTATCTGCTAGCAGTGTGGTGCATGGTGTAGAAAGCTTCAGAGTAAATGGGAAAAATTACTTCTTAAATATCTAACATAACTTCATCACTACATAGGCCTCAATCCAGTGGTTCTCAACCTTCCTAATGCTGTGACCCTTTAATACAGTTCTTTATGTTGTGGTGATCCCCATCCATAAAATTATTCCATTGCTACTTCATTACTATAATTTTGCTACTGTTATGAGTCAGAATGTAAATGTCTGATATGCAGGATACCTGATATGTTGACCTCCAAAGGAGTCATGACTCACAGGTTGAGAACTGCTGCATTAGTCAACACCAGCACATGGCTCTGTTCATGGTGTTTGTGTTTGTGTTTGTGTGTGTGTATGTGTGTGTGTACTCCAGCTTTCTGTTAACTACCTATTATATCTTCTTTTAAATTTCAGAGGTTTAGTATAGTTTTGCCTTTCCATTTTGTAAAAAATACAGATACTATAAAGATGAACTATAAAAGATGAATCACTGCTGCTTTTTCAACTGAAATTCCTATCTACAGAGGTCTAAATAACTATGCTACTGCACCTGTCTTCTCGATTATTAGTCCATGGGTAGATTGGTGTTTTACTATTATGCGGTCCAAGTGCCAGCTGAGATTGATGGCATTTTCTCCTTTTATACTGTTGATGAAGATGATAATGTAATGACTGACTGATCACAATAATCATTTCCCTGCATTATTCAGTATCTCCAAGCTAACTGGTTGATATAATGAGAACTGTTATGGAGAATGTCTTACAGGTCCCTGGAAGTATTCATACCCCAGGAGTATCATGTGGCATTTTTACTCATAGTCTCAGATGGAATATCTCCAAAGAGGGGGCAGCCACTGTGATACTAGAATTCTCATATCTCTGGCATTGAGGTGATGACTCTAAAATACATACACTCAGTTTCCAGACGGCTCCTGGAGGATTCTATTCTACGTGTTTTGCACCAGACAGTTAGGGCTCTCACCTTCTCCATGTAAATCAAGACGTGATCATTGCTGACTTCTGTCCGGCTCACATCCATAGATATTTCAAGCTGGAGAAAATGGAGACATCACAAATGTTAATAAATAGATGAAACCCCTGGAGAATCCAGGGAAAATAAAACTATTATCAAAATACCGAGGGTAGAATTTCTTCAAAGGTCCCTTATAAATAAAAAAGTAAAAGTGAAAATGGAAGGTAGTTTGGATGAAGGGCATACTATTAGTGTGGCATATGGTGCACTTGTAAGGCTGATGTATCTGAAGAAAGGGAATTAGTCATTGTTCAAGGTTCAAGTAACATTTTATTTATTCACGAAGGAGACCTTTTTCCTTGTTTTTTTCCCCTCTAACTTAAAACAATCTCATTTTCACTTAATAACGTCTGTGTTACAGAAGTTTATGACATCAGTCATTTTCTTATTATTTCACTAGTTGATATTCACAGGCTTTATCTCCTTAAGATTCTAAGATTTAAGCAATTAGACAACTGTTGAAAGGGACAATGGGTGTTCCTCAGGGATGGGCCCCATAACTGGTTATCCATCACTGAATGATCAACTATGAAATCATATACACACAAGCAACATGAAATGGACTTAGCAAGCTGTATTTCTATATGTGTCTATATATGTATACATATACATAAAAATATGTAACAATAACAAAGAAAAAGGGCCCATGAATTTGAGAGAGAGAGTAAAGGGGGAATGTGGGAGAGGTTGGAGGAAAGAAAAGGAAGGGGCAAAATATGTAACTATATTTTAATTAAAATAAGAAAATAAAGAGACAAAAGATAACATGTTTACAAGTTTCCCTGGTAGCCATGATATCTAAACAATGCTACATACACAAGCACAAACACTTCATTTGGAGAAGGCATAAGTCTTTAAGACCTAATGTAGTAGTGTTTTAATAAATATTACCTTGGTCTGCTAATGCATAACATATAAAATGAAATGTGCTATCCTGGGATTATAGTGAACATACCATCTTCACTGTTGGTTTCAAGGGGATGAAGCCAGATACCATCTTCACATCAGCAATTGCCATGTTGGAATTAAAACGGCTTCCAATGTAACTGAAGATCCAGGGAAGAAAGACAGGTTTTCCTGTATTATTTAATATTCCTTTTCTATGTCTATATATTGAATATTCCATGATTCCACAAAGTATATATAAGACTTTCCAAGGATCCTGGAACACTTTCTATGTATTGGAATTTGTATAGAACTTAGTAAATCCATAGAGATCAGATCTGGAATCAGAATTTCAAGTATGTGGACTCAGATCTGTGTTTTAAGGAAGCTTCGCAGGTGACATGCCCTCGAGGCCTCTAATCTATACTAGGATTTTGCTATTCTCACTTTATCTCCATGGTTCCCTGAGTAGGGTAGCCAGCCAACCCACAAGGGTCTTGTGGATACATTTTTGTAAGTGCTATGGCCACTTGACTACTGCTATGGATAAGTGTGCTGTTTTCTCTAACAGATTATACTATAGATAACTAGATTTACTGATTGACGGTGGAATTACAATGGATGAGCCACTATTTCCTTTGATTTCAGTCTTCCAAGAAGTTTTTCTTCTGTGAAGACCAAGATTACTATATAATTTCATTATATAGAAGGAATTCAAGAAATAGACGAAGGGTGAAATTGCTCATTTATTTATTATCAGGAGTTAAGTAATTACTTGAAGGAATTAACTTCTGAAGGTAGAGGACAGATGACATGAGCTCCACTTCCGAGAAACTTGATTTTACCAACTTAAGAGAATAGCTTATTTTTTTCAAACAGATTCAAATGTTTACTGTCCAACAGTTTTGCTTAGTGAGAAGTTCCAGTAAGAAGATGGATTGTCCCCCTCCCCCGCCCCGAATTATGAAAATGAGTCTTACCTGATGTTAAGTAAGATCTGGAAGCTGGTGTGAGGTTTGTGATCATGACAAATATGAGGCAGAGTTTGCACCACTAAAGCAAATGGGAACCCCTTTTCTTCTGGTTGGACATTGTATTTCAAGGATGTCTATGGAACATTCAAGACAGGCATCGATTTTTCTCCTTTCCTCAGAATTCCCCTCAACTCCCTCGACTCTTTCTCTGACTTGGCCATTTGCTTACTGGGTTATGATTTCCCAGGGAGAACAATGCCTGGGACCCTCCTCTCCTGCCCAAGTCTTACCTGAAGGTACACACACCCTTCTCCTGTCACCTCTGTGGTGTAATCCCCAGGCACAGTCGGCAATGAGACTCTCTGTAATAACAACTGGTTGCCATTGTTCACTTGGAATTTTGTAGAAAATAAATCTGAAGAATAGATGGTCACCTGTGCAGCTTTCTTAGCTCCTGTGAAAGTAGCTATTCCATATTTGGATAAAGCCTGCAAAGCCACCACTGTGTCCTGAAAGAGGAATGGCACAACTCACTCAGGGATTGCTATGTTTAGAAGCAATTTGTTGCTCGAAAGTTTGAAGCTTAGTCCCCATGGTGCCGCTATTGGAGATGGATCAACGCAAGTAGGAGGTTTTTCTGGAATGAAAGTGTCCCACAGAGGCTCATGTATTGGAACACTTGTCTGTTCGCCTGTGGGTGACACTGTTTAGGGAATTTTGGCTGGTATGGCCTTGCTGGAGGAGAATATGCCATTGGGGTGGATTGAGAGTAAAAAGCCTTGCGTTATTGGCACTTTGCTCTCTGCTCCATGCTTGATATTAAAAGTGAGCTCTCAGTGTCTGGTTCCTGCCACCATGTCTGTCCCTTGCTGCCACACTTCCCCTGCCACGACAGACTCTGATCCCTCTGGGACCATAAGCCAAAAAAAACCCTTCCTTCTATAAGTTACCTTGATAATAGTATTATATCCCAGCAACAGGCTAGTAACTAATACAGAGGTCCTTGAATAAATGACCTCATTGTTCCTGGGAGGGATTATGTTCTGCTGGGAATCCTAGGGAGTTCTTATGAGTGGGTTGTTATAAAAAGAACAACCCCGGCCCTACACAGATCTCTGGCTTCCTGTTTTAAAATAGGATATCGTCTTCCCACATATGTTCCCTCCACAGCTATCCACCAGAAGGTGAGGAAGCCATCAGGCAGGGCAGCCTGGACCAGAGCCTTATTTCATATTTCTCCAGACTTCCAGTATCAAAACCTGTAAGCTAAATCAGCCTCTGTGCTTTGTAGAATTACTCTCAGATATTTTGTTATGGAATGAAAGGGACACTAATATAGATATGAAAACTCCAATTTTCCAAAGTCCTGTTAGCAGTCACAAGGGTTTTAGATTTCCTATTTTTGTATTTTTCCTCACTTAGATATTTAAGCTTTAAAGACTGATCCTAACTTTTGGATGGATAACGGGATCATAACATCACATATATGCCTTGGGTTGTGTGCCCTACAAGTTTATCAGCAAATTGATCTCTCCTTATATAAGTGTGTGTGATACAGGATGCAGAAAATATACGTAACTGGGAATGGAATACTTTATTGGCTTCGGCTATTTACTTATGGTGGCCCTTTTGACCATTGTGATCCTATCTGCTGTTCCCCAGCCAGAGCTTGGTCTGGCTCCCCTTCCAAATTAAACTTCTCCTGTGCTGATGAGAAAGAATCCAAAGCCTTTTATAACTGCTTAGAGTCAGGCCTCAGTTTCTCCAAAGGAAGCAAAGGGCACTTATTCTAAACATCCTCCTGATGTGTTGCTATTCTTACTTGACTCTCCCCTTTCATCAGAATTCCACCTGTGCTCACTTCCTCCTCGCTGTGCTGTGTTCTCAATGCCATGGACACTGAGCTAGGAGGGCATACTTAAATAGATATTTCTAAGAAATACATGAAAGCAATTTTTAATAAAATCATTTTTTTCATTCTTGTGGAAAAAATAACCTTATTTTTAGTGCAATAGAAAAGGGCAAGATTGTATTTCTCCATACTCTCTTTTCTCTTAGAGAGGATGTATGCTAACATCTACTTCCTCTGAAAATGAAGCTTCTTGCTGGGCTCATGCTGATGAATTGTTTAGATGCATGGACATAGAGCTGAGCTTGAGAGATTGGATGAGTAAAGACAGTCTATTATGTTCCTAGTAAACATATTTTTGTGTACCAAGAGGTGTCTGAGGAACATCAAAACTGTCTAGTTTAAACAGAGACCCACCAATGGACATATTTGCAAGGAAAGAATGCTGAGTTATGGTTCCCATGAACAGTTCAAAAGAGAGTCTTAGCCTTCAAGAAGAATGATAGGTAATGTTCTCTTCCTTCTTCTGGTGCCTTAGTACCATTGTAGGCACATGGATTTGTTATTGAAATGAGGAGACCATGGCAATACAGGGATGCGGTGGGGTGCTGTAGGCTAAGAACACTTTTTTAGCTGTCTTTGAATTTCTTCTCCTTATCTTTGTATACTGATAATCCTTAAAGTCACCTTTGGTCTTTTATTCTCATGTGTGTTTAGAGTTAGTAAATCTTTCACCAACTGAAGGTGAAATCAAAGGTTCTGGCCAATTCCTGACCTGAGTGGAGGAGAAGCCACCGTTGGAATTCTGCTGCTTTGTGAGCCATCTCATGATGAGCATTGCAGTAGTCAGATCCTCTTCGTCTGGAGTTGGCTGGATGGTGAGATAGGCCAGGAGCACGTAGGCAGTCATCTCTACCTCAGCAGAGGAAGCCTGAGGTTGGAACCAAAAACCCACTGGCAACATGTGTTTCTGAGGTCTTGTCCAGTGGATGGAATTGTCTGGAGGTGAGAAAAAGATACTCATGAGTGACTAAATATTTATACTTAATTGTTTGAAAATAGCCAGGGCAGAGCTAAAGTGAGGACTGCACTTAACCTTAGAGACATGCATTCCCATTGGAATAAATATGAATTTGACATTTCAATCCAGTTAAGGCTGTATACTTCTATAACATTTAGCACATGCCACACAATCCACAAAGTGTTTACATTTATTATTCACTTAATGTAATAACTCTACAATGCAAACATTATCCCTGTTCATAGAAGAACAATGTCCAGCTTTATACAAATAGTTCATTTTGGAGCAAGTCTCCAAGGCTGGGCTTCTCACCACTATAGCTGATGCTTCTTATTTTTTGATGTGTAATTTTAAAAAAGGTTTTATGTAGAATAGATATCTAGATGATAGACAGCAGGTACCAGAAAGGAAAGAGGCTACAAGAGGAAAGGCAGGGACATTCTAAAGCACAATTTTTGACGCCCACAATGTTGGCAGGAGAAAGATCTCAGATAAGCTTTCACCTTCTTTCACAGCTTCCTCATCAAGTGATTCCAGTATCTCTTTTCTCATGTCCTGGTTCCCAGCAAGGGCAAACGCATAGGCCAACAGTGCCTTAGTATAGGCATGGCTGCCATGGGCTCCTTTCTTTGCTGACTTCCAGGCTGTGTCTAGGCAAAAGAGGGCATTGCGGACAACAATGTGCTGTGAAAGGGGGTCAGAGAAGAAACAGCTCTGTGAGCAAAGGTGCTGGCATTCCCAGGTAAGCACACAAAGTAGAGCATGGCGCTGGAGAAAAAGAAGTTTTTCCAATTCATTCTTATACATAGAAGAAATAGCACCTAACCAGGGCTTGGGAACACCACAGAAGAGGAGGCCAAAAGGACATAAGAATCGGGGGGTGGGGGGTGGGGGGTGGGAGGTGGGGGTGGGGTGGTGGTGCTGTGAAAAGTTCACTGCTGAATATGGCATGGCTAGCACACTGTGAGCTTACAGTAGCTAGGGCCACAGACACAAGGCCTACATGTGATCAAGCCAGCCAAGATTCTGGCATAGATGGGATAGATGCTCTTCAGGTCACACCCCCTACTGAGACATTCTTGGCACTTAGTAGTTTCTGGAGGGAGAGTGAAATCATTAGTTTTCAAGAGTACAGCCGCTAGTCAAAGTCCCATGCTTCAGTGGATGGTCCCATACTCATGAATATATGAGCAGCACAAGCTGGACTTAGTGGGTTATATTTTTCAAAAAAGGCATGAGGTTGGCAAAGGATGGTTTGAAGAGGTTATAGAGGGGACTTGGAGGGAAGAAATAGCGATGGGTAGATAAGATTGCACGTTACTGTGTACATGCATGAATTTCTCAAGTAAAGAAAAATAATCTACTATTAACCATTAATCTGGTATTAACTATATCTTTAGGATTCTTTAGGGAGTGGAGATGGTCATGGGAGAGAAACAGTATAAATGTCTCCCTGAGAAAATGTAAACCTTTCTTCTTTGGTGGAGCAAGTGGCTCTGTGAAACATTTGCAGTGCATTGAAGGGGAGATGACACTTGATGCTTAGGAAGCTCGAGTCTCAGACAAAAGACCAGGGTTTTGTTGCATCCAGAACCACTTTTTACAGGAAATGAAGTGGTACCCACAGTGATAGGGAGAGACATCTCCAGGAGAGCGATGGTGACATAGGCAGACAAGGTGACTTCATCTTCTACTCCTCCCTGTGAACAGACAAGAGGGAGAGGTCGGAGTGGTTCTAAGAATTCCATTAATTAGCTATTCTTCTTCTGTTGTGTTGTGGAGCTGATCACTTTTTAATACCCATACCCCAATCAATTTATCACAATTAATATGAACTTACCCTCTCTTTCTTGGTGATGTCTAGGTCTTATTGTTCTTTGATTTCTACCCTATAACCTCTGCTCTCTATCCTCACATATCTCATAATGGATAATCCAAAACTAGCTCTGGAATGACTCACCTTTATTGCATTGTTGTTCAGAGCCCCGGAGCTCCTGAAACAGCCATTGTCGTTCTGCTGATGGGAAAGCCAGAGGACAGCTTGGGTGATAAGTGCTTCATGGATGAAGATATAGTTTTGAGCCTGAGCAAAACTCTTCAGTACAAAGGCTGTAAGCCTGAGTGAGGTGGAAGTGATTGGACATTTGCTGTTACAATGATTTTAGAACCACTTCACATCAACACGCTTCATGAATCACCCCCTTACATTGAAGAAGTATCTAATAATCCATGTACACTGGAGATGTCCTCTCCTTTACTCTCCTGAAGAAGATGCTAGATCTAGAATTCGCCTTAGCCATAAAGAGTCTGTAGATTTCTGACCCAATTGTTTTTCTTGGTTCTTTGAGGAAGGCCTTTTAAAGAGGCAAAAGATTTATATGGTCTGAAGAGAAACCAGCATGAGTTGGTCCTCGACTCTTCTCTTTAAAGGTGTCTTTCTATAGATGACAGAGACTTCTCCTGCAGTCCTCTTTTACACAATAACTTTAAATTTGTTTTTACGTTAGGAATGTAAAAATAAGATTTTACATCATTCTTAATTCTTTCCTCCCAATAAATTCATCCTCTCTCAAGGTAAGTATGACCCGAGAAAGATAATATAAGCTGAAGTTGATATGGCTTATCTAGAAGTCATACAATATCCTCACTATATCTCTTTAAAACTCTCGGTTAGGGGAGCTAGTTTAGACAAGAATATGTTGGTATAACATGGCCAGGATGAATTTGGGAACACATTTAACATACATGTACTTGAATACCAGATTCTCTGCTTGTTAACTAACTGGTGCATTCATGTAGTATAATCCAATCTAGATCTAATAACATATGACTCGACAGAGTTGCTATTGATATAACTGGGGTATATGAAAAGAGCTGATTCAAAATAAGAACTCAAGAAATTGGGTTCTCCTTACCAGGTACTGGCATCATTCCTGCCAGATTTATCCCCAAAGGTGCTATAGGCACCATCTTGGTGCTTGTAGTTTAACTGTCTTTGGTACCCTACAATAGAAGGTTAATGAAACAATGTGTCAGCCAGAAACCCATGGAAGCCAGAAAGATTATTAAAATGTTGCTATCTCTTGTGACCTTTCTTCATTTTTTTTGTTCATATATAGTATGTTCTTAGTTTGGAATGTTTTTTTTAAGTTTTGAAAGTAGACAGTTTCTATGAAATAAACCATGCTAGTGTTTTCTGTTATGGTAGCCATTACAGCGGAATAATATGTGATAGTAATGATAAACAGTCCAATCCTACTGGGCAATCCAACTGAAACAATACTGTTAACTTTCAGTCCCTCATTCAGTACTTACCCACTTTCAGATAGTCAATGGCTTTGTCCTTGATCTCCTGGGTCAGCTGTTGTGTTACATTCAGATAATCCAGGACATAGATATTAGGAGCAAACAGAGCCATATTCTGTTCTCCACAGCCATAGGGCATCTCAAGGAGATCCTCTGTGTTTTGCATGGCAGTACCCAATATATCTCCTAGAGAATGGGAGAGATGGGAAATAATGAAATTTAAGATTGTATCTGAAATATTGAAAAGAAATGAGTAATTAGCCATGTTAAAAGATGAGTAATTTTGCAAAGGATGCCTTTCAGGCACAGAAGGATTATTGGAAACAATAAACAATTTAAAGAGGAAAAGAAGTTAAAGTTACATTTTCATGAATGTGTGTATGTATGTATGTATGTATGTATGTATGTATGTATGTATTTAAGACAAGGTTTTGCTATGCAACCCAGGCTGGCCACAAACTCTGTATCCTCCTGCCTCAAGTGCTCAAGTGTTGGCATAGTGGGTGTGTATTACCACATTTTTTTTGTTGCTGTTTGTTCTGAATAAATATTTAGAGAAAAGTAACACTGTATGGACTAAGCAGTTGTATTAATATATTTAGGAGTGTGTGTGTGTGTGTGTGTGTGTGTGTGTGTGTGTGTGTGTGTAACAATTTTTTTAAAGGAGGTAATAATTTAAGAGAGAGTGCAAGGGGTACCTGGGAGTGGATTGGAAGGAAGAAAGGGAAAATGATATAAATATATTTTAATTTAAAAAGCTAAAAATTCTAAAGTAAAACAATTTTGCTTGGTAAATACAAATAACTTCTCTCTCTGGCTCTCTTTCTGGTGCTCTCTGTCTGTCTGTCTGTCTGTCTGTCTCTCTCTATATATACATATATGTATATATATGCATGTATATATGTGTGTGTATTTATATACATGTATAAACAAAAAAAAATACAGCCAAAGTTAATCCACAAATTCCCTGAGGAGTAAACTCACCCAAAACTGTGACGGAGGCTTGGGCAGAGTCCTCTACCACATCTGGTGGCAGCTTCAGGGATATTTGTTCAGACAGCTTAGCACCTAGGGCAAGAAGCACGTGAGCAACAGGAGAGGCCATTCTGCACTGCGTCTTTTAGAGACGTCAACAGCTGGGACACTGGAATTAATGCCTTACACACAAGCTGCTTCTGAGAAGTTACTCCTTTTTAAAAATAAAACAGTTTTTGTTCTGATCTTAGGGGCTCCTGGGATTTGGAGGTTTTCAGACTTTCATCCCAAACCATTTGTTCTCCCTTGATGTGAAGTCGAATTTGCAAAGAAGGCAACGAGTCCGGGAGCCTGAAGCCGAGGCTCTGCTGTAGTCACTCTACAGCCTGCAGTGTGTTCGGGACAAGATGACCTATTTTAGCCTCACCTTCACAACTCCTCTCTCAATAATCATGAGAGGGGAAAGTCCAACAAAGATTTGTGTGTATAAATAAGCAAAGAAAAACTCCCTAAAAAGTCCCAAATTTTACAACATTGTAATATTCCTTTTTTAGATATGAACATAGTAGATTTTAATGGAAGACCTCTAAAATAGGAGTAAGAAAATGAATAGTACCTGACTGATTAAAAATAAAATTATCGCCGGGCGGTGGTGGTGCACGCCTTTAATCCCAGCACTCGGGAGGCAGAGGCAGGCGGATCTCTGTGAGTTCGAGGCCAGCCTGGGCTACAGCGCGAGATCCAGGAAAGGCGCAAAGCTACACAGAGAAACCCTGTCTCGAAAAACCAAAAAAAATAAAATAAAATAAATAAATAAATAAAATAAAATAAAATTATCACTATAATAAAGATAAAAAAGAAAAGTATAATAGTCATTTCCTATGTGTGCTTTTCATAAAGTTAATAACAAAATTTTTGCAAGAAAACAAATACTCTAAGTAAACATAAAACAAAAATAACCAAGTGGAAGAAAATATTTTGACTTGCTTGAAATAATAATAATTGATGAATAAATATATGCTGCCATTTTAATCTTGGTGGAATATATGAATAGGAAAATGAAAAAATTATGATATTTACCATCTCTTTCTCATAAAATTAATGTTGAGTTACATGAGAAGTCAGATGCCATAGGTAAGGTTGAAAGAAAACCCAATGTGTTCCTTAAATAATCAGTGTTACTCAGCTCAGGTCAAAAAAGACAAAATATTCAAACACATGTGGTCAAATGATATGGTGAGATTTTATAAACAAGCCCCAAACAACCAAGCAAGCAAACAAAAAAACCAGGTTCAACTTCACTTGTGATGAATCAATACAACTTCACAATAATTTTAATCCAAAATGTTGGCAACATTTGTAAGCAACAGAAATAAATAACGATGCTGAACATACATTATGGAAATGCAAACTGATTGAAGAATAAACACAGTCATAGTAAGGAAGTGCTTTTTCTACTAAAACAAAGACTAGAGAGAAATATGATGAAATGGGAAATATCAAGCCCCACTATTTCCCATGCTAGGCTCAGCCAGTATCTTTTCAGGGACTAGCACCTGTTTAGAAACTCTCATTATAAAGAAGCAGTCTTAGACACCTGGAGCGGGTGGCCCACAACCAAAGAGAACCCAAAGCAGAAAGGTAAAGATGATGGCATTTTAATCACTCCACTTCTGCTTTTTCTGAGTTAACACAACACTTGATGGGGATCTCCCCAAGCCCCCAGCTTGTATAAGAGAAAAGACAACAGAGACAGTCATCCACCCCATGGGGAGCCCACCATGGTCCCAAGTCACAGAAAACCGGAAGGCAATGTCACAGCTAGATCACACAGATTCAGATGAAGATGCCTTGAGACAGATTTCTCTAACAAAGATGCTCTAAGCCTCACGGCATCTAAAAAGAAAAGATTTAGTAGAAACAAATCAAAACTAAAAAGGGTTAAAAACAACACTGCAGGAAAACATCAGCCCACAAAAGGAGACAGCGAGAGGGCAAGAGATGAAGCACCTACAATAGTCAGGGAATGTTAACGCTTGGAAACGGGCTTGCCTATCGATAACCACCCCAAACGTAGAAGGATCAGAAGAATCTCCAGTATAAAGACAGAGAGAAATGAATGGATGAAACAAGACCTAGGTGTGTGGCGCTACAACACAATCACCTTTTCAGGACACACATGGAAACAGGAAAAGAATTAGGGAGAATGGCACTCCTATCAGATAAAATAAATTTTGATTAAACAATATGTGAAAAGAATCAAAGACCTTCTATAGAGACTCATTCTTTAAGAGAAAATAACAATTGTAAATATACACATTCATAGACAAAATAAATATTAAAAGATATGAAGCAATACAGGCTGTAATAGAATAATGGGACAGATGCTGTAATGCAGAAATGAGGGGGACCTCAATACCCCATTTTAAAGTGTAGATAGGTCATCCAGGAAGAAAATAAAAAACTCACTGGACTTAAGCAGCACTCTAACTTAGCTAGACCTAAAAGATGACTGTACAGCATTCCATAGGGGACAACAAAACACCATTCTTCTTTATAGGGTGGGAAGCAATGCTTATAAATATTGATGTGATCAAAATATGAAGGCTTTGATTATTAAATGGAATATAATTCTCAGATTTTCTTGGCTAAACTTTTCTTTATTCCTTGCTGTCACCCACCTTCCTGTCTAGAATTCCTCTCATTATATATATATATATGTGTGTGTGTGTGTGTGTGTGTGTGTGTGTGTGTGTGTGTGTGTGTGTACATACACACATTGCTAACATTTGCTAGTTTTTTTTAATTAGTTCTTTGAGAGTTTCATACATGTTTTGATCATATTCATGTACTCCCAACTCTTCCTAGATCCGCCTCCCAACTTGATGTCCCCCCCTTTGGTACCACTTTGTTCTATCCAAATGTTCTTGGATATGTGGTCTTCCACTAGAGTGTGGTTAACTTCCAGGGACTACACTCTTAGAGAAAACTGTCTCTCCCTCTCAGAAGCCAAAAACTGCCATTTGCTTGACAGATAGAGGTGGATCATGTGCCAACACCCTTTTCATGCTGGGATTTGACCTGGCCTGGGCCTACGCAGGTTTTGTGCACACTGTGAGTTCATATGTGCGGTTGTCCTGCTTTGTCAGCTGCTCTGCTGTGATACGGTTTCCTTGTAGTCATTCACCACCTCTGGCACTGACTTTTTCTGTCTCGCTTTCCACAATGATTTCTGAGGTTTGGGGGGTATGGTGAAGTATATATGTTCCTTTTAGGGCACAGCATTCTGCAGTCTCTTATTCTCTACACTTTGACCAGTTGTGGGTCTCTGAGTTAGTCACCATCTACTGCAAATAGAAGCTTCTCTGATGAGGGACGAGGGATACATTGATCTATGGGTACAACAATAAGTCTACTTTAAGATTTCATCTTGCCTCATTAAGAATGGCTAAGATAAAAAAAACACAAATAATGACAAATGCTAAAATGGATGTGGGGAAGGATTCATACTTATTCACTGCCAGTAGAAAAGCAAATTGGTCCAACCACTATGGAAATCACCATGGAGATTCCTCATAAAGCTAAAAATAGATCTACCATATGATCCAGCTATACTATGCTTGTGTATATACTTAAAGGACTCCATAGAGACCTACTCTAAAGATACTTGCTAATCCATGTACATTGCTGCTCAACTCGAAATATCCAAGAAATGTAAACAGCCTAGATATCCATCAACTGATGAACAGATAATGAAATGCAGTACATTTACATAGTGGAATATTATTGAACTATTTAAAATGATATTATGACAGCCTGAGGTAAAAAGCACAGAGTTGCAAACAATCACTCCAAGTGAGGTCATCAAGATCCAGAAAGACAAATGTCACATGTTTTCTCTCATCTGTGGATATTAGCTTTGAATCTTCATAATGTATATTTCATTTGGAATAATCATAGACATCAAAAAATCACTAAGGGTCCCTGAGGACCCTCAAGGGAGGGAAGATAGACTGTACTGGTAAAGGTAAAGGGGAATAATGGGAAAGGCTAAACTGGGGTTGGGGGTGGAGGGTACAATAGAGTATGGAGTACAGGAGGGGTAAATAACACTAAAGACCTTTCAAAGATGACCATTCCTGGAGCTCACATTGGGGAAGTAGCAGAAATGGAAACCTGACCACCTGCAGGAGCCTAGGCAGCTAGAGGAGGATCTAGGGCTCTGTTCTGGGGAGACCCATCTCTTCCTGGCCACTCATTCTTCTGAAGCACATAAAATGTTACTATGGGTAGATCATGCACTAGGCCACAGGATCAAACAACATGAAATCACTTTTTGTCAGTATGTCATAAAATAACAGCAGGGAGTGTCATGGAAAATCATGAATATGTGGAAATTATGCAACCAGCACCTGAAAAAATCAGTGTATCGATGAAGAAATTGAGTTCCAATTAAAAACATCATGGGGCAATGAAAAGGGAAACACAAAATACCTAAACCTAAGGATCACAGACAAAGCAGTTCTAAGAGGAAAATGTATAGTAATAAGTTGTAGACGAATTTCTAAATGGTCTTATTAAATAAAAAACACAGAGCCAGATATAGGGGTGAAAACCTGAAAGATCGGGGAAGTAGGGAAAGCCACAGCTAACCTCACCTCACCAACTCCGCAGCTTCCAAAAGTGAGCTACTTCCTGTCTATCCACACTTATGCCTACCTGTTCTGCCATCTGATTTGCTCTCTCTGTCCAGCTACATTCCTCTTCTTTCTCAGTTCTGTCACTTCCCATCTATCTGTACAGACCTCCAGACTTCTATGGTTGGTGCTGGGATTAAAGGCATGTGTCACCATGTCTGACTCTGTTCCCCAGTGTGGCCTTGAACTCACAGACATCCAGACTGATCCCTGCCTGCCAAGTGACAGGATTAAAGGCATGTGCTACCATTGCCTGACTTCTATATTGTGGCTGGCTTTTTCCTCTGATCTCCAGGCAAATTTTATTGGGAGACACAGTATGTTGGGGGACACGATACATCACCACAATAAGTTGCCAAACTCAAACAGAAGGAAGACCTCAAGTAAATGACTAACATTTCTCATGAGCAATTATAACAAGACAAACTACCACAAACTGGTAGAAACAATATAGTTATGCAGCAACAAATCAGATAATTTAGAAGGAATGGGTACATTTCTGGAGATCTGCAACCAATGAAGACTTCACAAAAAAAAAAAAGGAAATCTTAACAGATCAAAAATGAATCAGAATATTGACTTGGTATTTAAAACCTCCATTAAAGAAAAATCTAGAACCTGATGATTGTACTGTTGAATTCAATAAACTAGCTAAAGAAATAGCACTAAACTTTCTGAGTCTTCCAAAAACATTCGAGAAGGAATAATTCCAAATAAGTTTTGTGAAATTAGCCTTACCTGGCAAAGGCATTATAAGAAAATTGCAGGCAAATGTCTTTACGAACACAGATGTAACAAAAATCAGCAATATAAAAGCAAGCTAAGTTCAATGCCACACTTAAAGGATCATACACCATGATCAACTGTGACTGGTCCCTTGGATACAAGAGTAGTTCACCATAGGCCAGTTTTATACCACAGTGACAAAATAAGGAATGAAAGCACGATTGTTTCATTACATGGAAAAGAACAATTGAACAAAATTCAAAATACTTTCCTAATTAAAAACCCTCACCAAATTAGGTATAGAAGAACATACCTTAACCCAACAAAGGCAACACTTACTCAACAGAGAAAAATTGGAAACCTTTCCTCTCTGATCTGGAACAAGATAGGACATCTTACTTTTTTCACTTCTACTTATAGTGCTGGAATTGCCAAGAGCAATTGGACAAGAAAAGAAAGAAAATCATCCAGAGCATAAAAGAAGAAGCAAAATCATTACTGTAAAGTCATTACAAGTAGTAAATGAACATAACACTTCAGGATAAAAAATCAACACACAAAAATCAGCAGTATTACTATGCTAACAATAAATGATCTGAAGAAAAAATTGAAACAGGGGCTGGAGAGATGGCTTAGTAGTTAAGAGCACTGGCTGTTCTTCCAGAGGACCTGGGTTTGATACCTAGCACCCTCATGGTGGCTCACAACTGTCTCTAACTCCAGTCTCTGGGGATCCAGTGCCCTTTTCCTGCCTCTGTGAGCACCACACATGCATGTGGCACACATACACACATGCAGGCAAAACACCCATACACACAAAGTAAAAATTTATCTCAAGATCCAAAAGAAATCTAAATAACAATCCCATTTATAGTTGCTTTGGGGAAAATGTGTAGGAATAAATTTAACTAAGACAAGAGATTTTTTTTTAAAAAAAGACATGCTGGGAAGTATGAGGCATTAAAAGAAATTAAAAATGAAACAGATAAACAGAAAGACATCCCATGTTCATTGATTAGAAAAACATTATAGAAATGGTTGTATGATCCAAATCAATTTATACATTTAATACAACTCTTTCAAAATTTCATAATCATTTTTCATAGAAATTGAGGCAACCTTAAAATAGATGTGGGAGCAGAAAAAATAGCAAAGGTAATCATGAGCTAAAAGAACACTGTATCTAAGTATGTTATAAAACTGACATAATTAAAATCACATGATATTTACATTAAAATATACATAGAGAGACCACTGTAAAAGTATAGAGACATTAGAAATGAAGCCACATGTGCATAGACAATTTCAACGAAGAGTAAAGAATACAGTGAGGAAAGGAGAGTCTCTTCAAAAGTTGGGGCCAAGAGAACCAGATATCAGTCTGAACACAAGAGGAATTAGCTCCTTATCTTTTAGGAAGAATTCTCTTGTCATGATGGGTGTTTGATTGTTTTTGTTTGTTTTGATTCCCCTGCCTTGGCATGCCAAGTTCTGGGATTACAGGCATGCACCAACTCTTTAGGAACGACGTTCTAACTCACTTGTCACATGCATTGATGACACTTCAGGTTTCATCCCACAGAGAATGTGAAAACAATCTTTGAATTTCAATATTATACAAGTCTTAATCAAAGTGCATTTAACTATAATGGTTGAGGCTTACCCTCTGGACAGTGCACGCTGTTGAATGTCACTTCATTTTCTAGACCTTCAGGCTTTAGGTAAAAGAAAGAAAAGTTAAGATGAAATGCATTGAGACATTCTGGATATGTGTGTTGTTGATTCGGGGACCACAGAGTCCCTCATAGTGAAGAAAAAGGTTTGATGTACTATATAAATAAATTCCATTCATTATACATCTATAAAAAAGATGGATTGGTAGAAAAAAAATTAGCAAAGATTAATGAAATTAAAGAGACTGAAAAGGATGATAGATAGATACATAGATGATAGATAGATAGATAGATAGATACATAGATACATAGATGATAGATAGATAGATAGATAGATGACAGATGATGATGATGATGATAGATAGATAGATAGATGATAGATGATGATGATGAAGATAGATAGATGATAGATGATGATGATGAAGATAGATAGATGATAGATAGATACATAGATGATAGATAGATGATGGAAAGATGGATGGGTAATGAATAGAGAGATAAAAATATTGTGAAATATACATATTATTATTATTATTACAGTACCTACGTATTTATGTTATTATGAACTTTATCATGGACTGTACACTATTCAACACTGGAAGAAGAAATTGAAGAGTTGAAGAGTTGAAACTCTAAAAAGAGTTAGAGCCCTAACTGATTTCCCTCTTCTGTGATTCACTGTGTCCTCTCGAGGTAGGCAGGTTTACTTACTTCAACCAACAGGGACTTGATGACTGTGTCTTTCTTTCCATGCTCAGGGACCACTGGTACTACATTCCCACATCGCTCCTGAGAATTGAGTGCCTCCGCACTCACAGTGAAATTCACATTTCCTAGTAGAAAAAAAAAAGCCAAGTAGAGATGAGTACATTTACCCTTCCTCCATACTTCCAAACTCAGAACTTAAAACATTTGCTTTAGATCAGTAAAAACACAGGAGCAGAAATGCAAGCAACATCCACTAGAGGTCAATGGCACTAGAGGTGGAGGTGAGGAAGAGAGGGTCCCTTGTATCCTTGTCTGACAAGAAAAGACTTCTTTTCGCTGTGGCTATTGTTTTAATTTATTTGTGAGAGGGCTCCATTATATGGTCAAGACTGGCCTTGAGCTCATGTTTGACCCTGTCTCAGGCTTCAAAGTGCTGAACTGCAGGTGTGCACCAGTAAATTAGCATTCAGGAATGAAAGCCCAAGAAAAACAGTCCTCCTGCCTGGGGTCTTTGTCTGTGGGAAAGGACCACTGCTCTGGCTATGTGGGAAAGGACCACACAATGGAGCCCTCTCACAAATAAATTAAAACAATAGCCACAGCGAAAAGAAGTCTTTTCTTGTCAGACAAGGATACAAGGGACCCTCTCTTCCTCACCTCCACCTCTAGTGCCATTGACCTCTAGTGGATGTTGCTTGCATTTCTGCTCCTGTGTTTTTACTGATCTAAAGCAAATGTTTTAAGTTCTGAGTTTGGAAGTGTGGAGAAAGGGGAAATGTGGGAAAGGACCACTGCACTGGCTATGCTGATCCTGTGGGACCCTGCTGCTCACCTAATGACTTTGGGGTTATTATCCAGGAGACAGTGTGACGCTCATTCACACAGACGCAGTGAGACTCTCGTGCCTTCTGCAATGGCGCAGTTAAGAAATCAGGAGAGGCCTCTAGGTGCACAGTAACCTGGAAACACACAAGAAGCAAGATTGAAGGTAGGAGACCAAGTTTAAACTGAAGCATGCTTGGAGATGGTTAGATTCTGTGTTGCCTCACATCATTGAGACAGACAGAGATGAAGTGCTACGGTATATTTATTAGCCCCTCACAGATAAACCTCAGCACATGGAAGATTGCTTGGTCTTTTAAGCAGTGGAGCCAGAAAAAAAATGAAGGTATGTTGCCTGGATGAGTGCTCCTTCTGGGACTTGGAAGCATGATTATTGCCTGGCTTAGTCACTACATAAGACATTACATCCCAACAGGATTTTTTGTGGATCCGTATGAGTTGGCTTCATTACGAGAGAGAAATGTAACAGAGGCAGTGATGGTATCAGAAAGTTTTAATATAGAAGCCCCCAACTATTTGTCCAAAGAATCTGAAGTCCTCATCTATGCACGACAAGATGCACAGTGCATCGATTGCTTCCAGGCCTTTTTGCCTGTGCACTATCGCTATCATTGGCCACATAAGAAAGATAGAGACACCCTGATTGTGGTCAACAACCCAGAGTTACTGATGTACTGTGACCAAGAGTTCCTTGTTTTGAAATGCTGGGCTCAGTCAAAAGTGGCAGCTCCCTGTGCTTTGAAAAGTGAGGAGATCTGCCAGTGGAACAGCATGCAGTATAAATCAATACTTAAGAATTTGACCCTGCAAGTTCCTGTGGGACTGACTATACACACCACTTTAGTGTGTTCTGTGACTCTGCTTATTACCATCCTGTGTTCTACTTTGATCCTGTTAGCTGTTTTCAAATATGGCCATTTTTCCCTGTAAGTTTTATATAGTTAGATGTTTTCTAGGAACCTAATAAATGAGATCTATTCCTTTGTGAAAAAAAAATAAATAAAAAAATAAAAAAAATCTATATGTAGTTACAGTTTTCACAGAGGTAAGATGCACACAAACAACATTTTAAAGGAAGCTATGTATAAAGAATGCACTAAGAAAAATTAAACATCTAAGAATGTAGGAGCTGGATCTACAAACATGGGATGGGGTAAGGGGATGCTTGCTCATGTAAGAAATTCTTCTACAAACAACCCAACTTTACAGGATTATGAAACCTCTCTTTGTAGGTTGATTATTAGAGAGATTCACTTTTATAACATAGGAATATATGTATGATAGTTTTTTCCTCTATTGACCATATGTGTAGATAAGGAGTGGGTTTATTTATTTATTTATTTATTTATTTATTTATTTATTTATTTATTTTTTACTTTTTGGTATTTCTAAGAATGTGATTTTCTTTTAATCTGCTTGTGCTCAATTGAGGAAATAAATCTCTACCTGGATACACATTTGGAGATAGTTTAGCACGGTGGCCTTGAGCTTGAAGGATTCTCCACGGATCACAGAGTAGGGCATTTCGAGCTCCAAGAAGAAGGGCTGGAAGGCTTGGAATTGGGTTATGGGAGACAGGCCCAAACCAGCATCACTGGACAAGCAGAAGGCCCCAGCCTTCCACGTAGTGATGGTGTCAGGGACCGTCATTTCTATTTCAGCCATTCCAGTTGAGCTGCAGAGAGTGGGGTATGAAGTAAAGAAAGTGAGCAGCTAAATAAATCCCCTTTTAGGAGGAGAGACCTATAAATGATTTCATGGTCATAACATAAATGCACTCAATAGAAATATCAGTAATTGAAGGGCAAAGCCAAGACGTTCAGTGGGGAAATGGTGAGGTTTTCTTTTGTTTTCAGTTATGTCCATGTTAGAATTGTCTCCTGATAATGGAGCTAATCTCTTATAGAAAAACACAGTTATAAACTGTGCATGTAATTGATACTTTTCTCAACTTCTGTTACAAAATCTGATCCCACTAGGGTGGGTCTATAGATTTCACTTCTGCTACTACTGTGTTTGTTTGGCCAGAATTACTCTAAGCTTAACTTACACTTGCTTATCAATAAAGGAGCAGATTATTTTTTAATATGAATGGTACTTGCTTGCATTTGGTCCATATGCTCATTTTCTAGAATCTTATAATTAAAATTTTCCAAAAAGTCTTGCTTCTGACTTAAAAGATATAGTTTTTAGTTTCTCTGAGAAGAGATTCATTTAGTCTCATTGCTCTCTGAGAGCTGGACTCCTCATTAGCCCACTTTAGAGAAGACGGGGTCCCACAGAAGACTGCTAAGAGCCTGAATAGAAAGGTGGGCACTTCCTACTCTTCTGCTCCAGGTTTTTGCTTCAGTGACAAAATTTGTTTCTGGCTTCTCCTGAAAGGGGTTTGTGGATGCATCAAGCATCTCAACTTTTGTAGTTCTGTCCAAGGGTCTGGTCTGCCTCCTAAATCACACATCGGGGGGAATGAATGGTGCTTGCTGCTGTGGGGTGTTCTGATTGGTCAATAAATAAAACACTGATTGGCCAGTAGCCAGGCAGGAAGTATACGCAGGACAAGGAGAGAGGGGAATTCTGGGAGGTAGAAGACTGAGGCAGAGAGACACTGCCAGCCGCCGCCATGACAAGGAAGATGTAAGGTACTGGTAAGCCACGAGCCACATGGCAAAGTATAGATTAATAGAAATGTATTAATTTAAGATATAAGAACTAGATAACAAGAAGCCTGCTGCAGCCATACAGTTTGTAAATAATATGTGTATGTGTGTTTATTTTATAAGTGGGCTGTTGGACTGCAGGGACTTGGCGGGACCCGGAGAGAAAACTCCAGCTACAACTTGCATTCTCAAGCTCTCTAACATCACAGAGAACAAAGAGGAAATGGGCAATGGATGTGTATTTGTGACTAGAGCCTTTCTCCCAGGGCTCAGCATAAAGAGAACAAGCAACAGGCGTTCAGCTCTTAGTTTTGTCCTGGAATAAGTTTGACTGCACACTCAGTGACACTGTTTTCCCCCGGGGAATCTGGCCTTTAGTGAGCTCATAGTCTCCTGGGAATCTGAACAGCTGCATGGGCCTTTCCTACTGCTCCTTCTGCTGAACAGCCCCAGAGATGGATCAAAGTGTCCCAAAAGCTTGCCTGTCCCTGGAAGCAAAAGGATAAGATGTTTGTTTGCCCCTGGGGATAGGGGCTGAAAGGATGAACAGAAATATGTGCAGTATGAACAGGAGTGGGGCCATTGTCACAGACCCTCTCCCTGGCTTTGCACAGTGTGAGCCCAGCTCCTGGACTCTCCAAGAGGAATGGGGGGATTGGAACAAACACTTCACGTGCAAATGATTTCAACCATGAATCAGTGGATCAATTTCCATCTCACCTATCTCAAGGCACTGACTGATCTTGGTAATTGCTAAGTTCCTGGTGACCACATGGCAAATAGGGTGGTGCAAAGAAGCACAAAGATCTGAGAAACATCTAGAATCTCTGGCTTGGCTGGCTGGTGAAGTGCTTCTTAAATACTGGGTGATCCCAGTACTCCACGTTCAACCATAGCCACACTATGCAGACAAATCCCATGAAGAAATAATAAACTTGAAAAACAATCAACCAAACAGATGTACATAAAACTTTCAGGGGAAATAACAGAGTATGAAGTCTCCACAAGCACACAGTGGGTACACTCCAGGGTAGATCACATACTGGGTCAAGAAACAACTTTAAAAAGCAAAAAACCATTTTGTGTATCTTTTCTGACTAGATCACTTCATTCATCAATTTCCCTAACTTAAGGAAGAATTAACATCAGCCTTTCAAAGACATCTAAAAATGGAAGTAGAGACCAGCCTCACTCAGATATCAAAGTCAGATGAGAAGCCCACAAGAAAATCAGTCTATAAGCCAATATTTTAAATAAACTAAGAATCACAATACTTAATAGAATAATAGCTAACTGAACCCAACAGGACATTAAAAAGATTATGTAGTGACCATTGAATGCAAAATAGTGTGATCAGAGTGACACACCACATTAGCTGAATAGAAAGTAAAACCCATATGATTATCTTAATAGGTACAGAACAAAAAGTCCTTTCATGATATGAACTCTCAATAAAGTAAGTATAGAAGGAAATTTTCTCTATATCATACATACTGCTCAGGAAAGCTCCCTAACATTATAACCAGTGAAGAAAACCTGAAAGCTTTGCCTGTAGGATCCAGCACAAGATAAGGATCCCATTCCCATTCTTGTTCCACTGAGTACTGTCGAGAATAATTAAGGGGAAAAATAAGGGGAAAGAGACGTCAAGAGTATCCAAGTTGGAAATGATGAAGATAATCTCTATTTATAGATTATCTGATCCCAAATGAAGAAAACCTCAAAATTTCATTAAAAAAAATGTTAGAACTAATAAATAAACTCAGCGGTGCTGTTAGATACAAAATCAATATATGAAAGGATGTTTGCATTTCTATACCAATAACAAGCTATCTGGAAAAGAAATAAAGACAACAATCCCATTTATGATGGAATAAATACTTAGAAATCAATTTAACCTAGGAATCTTCTACATTGTTCAACCTTAGTAATGCTTTCACAGTGAAAGTGAAAGACCATGTCAGACAATCCTAAATATATACATTAAAAAGGGAAAACTCACTAAAGTTTAAAATCTTTGATAGATCTATATTTCTGCATCTTATAGAAAAAATAAGTTACTTACTCCACAACCACCAAATCCCAGATCCATGTCTCAGGGAAGTATTTTCGTATAGTCTCCTGGGGATACTCAAACGCCTCTAGAATATCCTCCACAGGATTGTGGCTTAAGAGTTGATATGCAGTTGGTACTATGGTAGGAGAGAGAAGACAGGGGCAATAAATACAAAGATTGAGTTCATGAGATGTTGTGTTACCCAAGTACTGCGACAGAAAGATCGGGAACGTGAGGTGGGAGCCGGAAAAGGACATAGGGGCAACCAGGAAAGCTTTTGGAGGAGGTGGCATTTCAGTTGAATTCTGAGGCATTAGAACAAACTGAACCAGGGGAAGAAAATCCCAAGCACAGAATGGAAGAGGTGTGGCAGAAAGTCTTGGATTGTATGCAGAAGAGAAGGTCTTGTGGAATCCCAGGAAGCTACTTCCCATTGTGCCAAATGAAGAGACCTAGGGTGGGGAGGAGGGCAGAAGCCCAAGTTGCCATTGGCATGTTCATCTATGGGAGCAAAGAAAAAAATATAGTAGTGGTTTTGAGAAACAGTTTACAGTAATGGAGGCATCAAGTATGGAAAAGCTCTGTACTCCATAGTGAGTCAGAAGGTCAATCAGCTCACCCATACTATGAACGTGTGACAGCCACTCCCTTTAGGAAAATCCACAGATGGACATATTGATAGACAGCAGATACACAGGCATGATAAATATATAAATATCCTATAATCTTAATAATAAAGGATTCTATAATTTATAAATAAAAATATCTGATTCTCTGTAGTAAATGTCACATAGAAAATGGATTCTCACTGAATGTTTTCCTAGACTTTTCTCTTTCTCCATACTTAACATGGCCAATCACTAGTTAGCAATATAATACTAAATTCATGCTGCCTACTGTGATTCAGCAAAGAAACAGCTTACATCACCTAAAATAGTGAAGAGTCTTCACTGATAATTTAGAGCTGTTGAAGAACATCTTTGCTTGACTGAGAGAATGCAACCCTGCTTTGAATGCAACCCCAATTCTAACACTGGCTTCATAGTTAAACTCCTGGGAACTGTCCCTTTTCCTTCAGCCCCGTCATTTCTGTTGGCAAAGACGGTTCTTGGTGGCCAATTTCCTGACTCCTCAGAGTCCATTCTTCTTTACTTTGTGCCTGTATTGAATCTGCACTTCTCTTAGGCCACTGTTCACAATCTGCCTTCCATGCTCTGTACTTGGTAGAGGGTGACACTATCAGATTTGAGCTTATATTGTTATGAACATTATTCAATGGGCTTAATATATCTGAATCAAATCTTTTGTTAATTTTGATCACATTTTGTCTTTAAAATTTTATCTTTTTTAGTTCGGTATTTTCAGTACTAACCTTTTGTGATTTCTTCGGGCTGTTCACAGATCTTATGTTTACGGATATCTGAGTTGGTGAATACCTTCAACCCCATGTCCTACAAAGGAGATGATCAGCTGATTAGCGCATAGCCATACACACCTCCTTTTATCTGAATTAAACTTCCGTGTTTGCATCTGAAGCAGGAACGTTAGCATGCCCGTGGTGTTAATGTTATTTTGTCCCTTAAATTCACCTGACAGTAATAATTCTATACATGACACTTATAAATATCACAAAGCAATGGATTTCAATAAAAAGAAAACATCATTAATCATTAAATCTCCTGGTCCTTATTCTGCTGCGTTTGGCAGATCTGCTCCTCCTGGCGACCTCAGCGAAGTCACTTGATTCTTTTATTCTGTTATTTTCAACGATGACAAGAAGGCATTGATACAAATAACTTCTCCATACAGGATACTTTAAGAATCTTCAGAACTGTCCCTAAGGTAAGGATTTTACCTTTAGGAAGTCATATATATCCTCTTCATTTGTATTCTGTACTGGGGAATACAGGATGCCATTAATGTACATGTTGTTTTGCCTGATACAGTCTTTGCTGTCTTCTTCCTCCAGATCTGCGCCCTCAGGGAAGCCAGTGAGGTCTTTCACTGGTAGCAGATCATAAACCTGCAGAAATGAGAGCACATAGGGCTAACTTGTCTGTGGCATTTTCTTAAAAAATCAAACCAAACCAAACCAAACCAAACCCAAGAACAGCAACACCAACCTTCCCTCAAGCATTTTCTCACTCAACAGAAATCATTTTACATGCGATATTTATATCACAACATGTTTTCACTTGGAAGATGTTTAACTGTTTTAGAAAAATAAAACTAATATGCTTCCCATTTAATTAATCGAGGGTCATCAGACTTGTTTATACCATTCAACAGCAAACACTATACTCAATATTAAAAGGAGATGAAGCATTAATAATTGAGAAACTGGACTGTGCTGTCGGTAACACAACATTGTGGGAAGGAATGAAATGATATTTCTGTCGCCACTTTGTAGTTAGCAACTGACTCTGCATGAATGAAGGGCACGTGTCTCAGACTGAATAAGTCCTGCAAACACCCTCCATGTAGGAGGGAACAATACTTCTTTCTAAGGTTTTATTCACAGAGACAAAATGCTCCGGGTTCATCATTCAGTCCTTAAGGGCTGATCTCTGAAACTCTGGACACAGGGCTTTCAATCCATTCAGGGGAGAGAAGTAAAACAGACATGAAGTGCTGACAGGTGCGCAGATGTGCATTCAAGGGAAAGAGACCATGGCCTGGACAGACCAGACTGGAAGCATGTGGCGATCCCCACAAATGACTCCTCCTCAGCCCTGCCCCCGCAATTTTCCTCCCTTGCTTTGTTTTTCTCCTAAACATATGTTTCCACTTCAATTATGAAAGTGTAAATTCTATAAGACACAAATATCGGACTTCCCTTAGCTCACAACTAGATCCCAGCACTTACCGAGGACGCAGAGAGCTCCGCCTCAGGCTTCATGAGCAGCACACTTTGGTCCACAGCTCGCAGAGCGCAGAGGGAATGAGGAAAAGCTGTGACGCTAAGGAGGGCGCGAGAGGCCGGAAGACCTTTGCTTTTACTGAAGATCAAATTCACCTGGCATATAGGAAAGAAAGGTCAGAAAAATCCATTTCTGCATTCCACCATGTGTCGCCTACATTTCCCAGGTGTTCCTCACCTCCAGCACGTAACAATGTTGGTTGCTTTCACAGTGGCTGCTGTTATGCTATGTGAACAAGGCTCTTTCCCACCTTGGAATTTGCTTTGATTCTCAAGGTTAGTTAGACCATTGTAATGGTCTCTAAAGATACTTCTCAAATGGCAGTTTTGAAGTATCGGTCTCGTATCTCTGATATACAATGAGTGCTCATTAACTCTGGATTTGTGGACTGCAAAAAAGCTCTAACAAAAGCATTTTTGTTTGGGCTTCATGTGGCCTTAAACTTGCTTGCATACTTGCTAATATTCCATTACAGAGACAGGAAGAGGGCATTGAGAGAGCTGGGCTATGTGTTGAGTCAATATTACACAGATAATTTTGAAAAGGAGGCAATAACATGATTTCTTAATGTGACTCTGCTGTGACCTCACTGGGACATTCACTTAATCCTTCAAGCCACACATGTATAAAAGTACGGCTAATAACAGGAACTGCTAGTCATAAATGTTGAAATTTTATTATATAAAGCACACACCTTGTTGTCCAGGCAGTTTCCAATCTCATATTTGACAGTATCTGCAACGATTTCTCCATCAGGCAGAATGATAAAAAGGAGCAATCGAGTTACAGGAGCCAGGTCTGTCTCCACCGGTATGAATATGGAGAAATGGCCTTTCGCTGAAGAGGAGAGAATGAGAGGCAGCAGTCATGTGTTAGACACATTCAGAGTGAAGATGAGAGTCACTTTATTACACAGAGCTAGTCTGGGCCCCTGGCCTGGCCAATCACTGCTCCTCTTAGTGGACACAATGAACAGTACACATAACAAATGCATGACTACCTTGCAGAGTACCCTGGGACTAGAGAAGGCAATACACAGAATCCTTTCTCCTCCATCAATCATGTATGTTTTTTTTCTCATCACTTTTGAGATTTAGCTGGATGACACTAACCTCAAATGCTACCTAAGGGAGTGGACTTCACCTTCATTCCTTCTTGATTCCTCATGTTAGGAGAGAAAGGAAGTCATGTGACCTGATGCTAAGAGCTTAACATACTGTATTTATGCTTATGTCCTCTTTCCCTATGTGAAATATGGGGTGGTGTCCTTTTCTCCTGAAGAGGAAGTCTACACTCCTGCAGAAGCCAGCTTTGATGTCTACCGACACTGTAGAGCCTGCATTAAATGTTCTTGAGTCCACTGCAGTGCCTCCATTTTGGCACCAAGAGATAAAGAGGTGCTCATTCATAGTTTTCTAGTAAGTCAGTGTTTAGACCCCAGAACAGGGGAACCTTCAGATGTTTATTTTTCATGAGTAGAGTCCCATTCCATGGTAGATATGCTCAACTGAACTTTTGTAAATCATTACTAAGTTCAGGGGAGAAACACACATACAGAGAGAGAAAGAGAGAGAGAGAGAGAGAGAAGGGGTAGTGCAAAACAAAACCTGGTAAGTAGAAAACACTTAAATTTTCCCCATCTCGATTTATACAACTCTTAAAATGTCCTTCACATTGAAAAAAAAAATTCTGACTAGAAATTTTGAAATAACTACGGTATACTCATGACCCTATCAACAGCTTAATAACCTAAGCAAAATGTACTGGGAAAAAAAAACTATTTGATAAAGAATGGCAAAAAGGAAATTGCATTCCTCCCTGGCTTCCTCTTTTTTGTGACTAGGTGGAAAAGAGACCCGTTGGAAGCATCCCTGACAGGTAATGAGGCCGGGTGGTCAGCATGGAGCAGAACTGTGGAGATAACGCCATACTCACTGTCTCCCCGCTCCACAGGCAGTGTGTGAGTCCCCGATCGGATAATGCCCCCCTTTGCCATTATCTGCAAAACATGAGATTAAAAAATTTCCAACAGAGATCTTATTCTAGCTTCCATTCTACATGCTTGCCTTATTGAGCCCCTGCTGGAAATAATTAGCCCCATGAGAAGTCAGACTTTAGAAAGAAACAAGAGTAAGAAGTTAGGAGCCGGAAAGATGGTTCAGCACTTAAGAGCAGTGCTGCTCTTCTAAAAGACCCAAGTTCAGTTCCCAGTACCCACATTAGGTAGCTCATCACCACCCGAAACTCCAGCTGAGGGGGATCAGACATTCTTTTCTGGCCTCCACAGGCACTCACACACATGGCATACAGTCACAGATACATGCATACCTAAGAGTAAGAAGCTTTCAAAGGAGGTCAAAGCAATGATGTCCACAGTGTCATAAGCCCTTGTCCCCAGAGAGCTTTATCTGTAGGTAATAATGCAGTAAGCTCCCTTCTCACCAGGTAATAGAAGACCAGCTCCTTCATCTCCAGCACAGCCTCTCCATTGAGAATATAATGCGCCTGGATCCGCTGTGTTTGGTCACAGGGCAGTTTACCAGCTATGGATTCCAGATGCACAAAGCTTTTGCTTGGCGAGAAAACGGCGTTGGCAGTGTGCTGTGCCTCTACATTCTCTCCTGTCAACCATCTGAATCCATAACAGACATGGTTATCCTTGTATTTGGCCTAAGGAATTAGAAAAACAATGTTACTTCACTAGATTCTATGTTGGGAACCATTGTCCTCACAACACTGTAAGTTTACTAGCCTTCCTTAACTAGTAGCTAGAAGTCTTTTCCTCTACAGTGAATGTAAGAAAGGCCTTTATTTCATCTGTCTTAAATATAGGCATGGCTCTGATTTTCCACCCCAGATCATCCTGAGTTTGATATTTATATATCAGAAGAGAATAATATGAGCTGTATGCCTTGCTGACTAGTTGGCTTAAAGGTCTCTTTGCTCCTTTGCCACGCAGACTAACATTGGAGCTACAAAGCCTTATTAGGGGAAGGGAATGCCAGTAACTACGTTACTAAGTAGTTTCATCTTTGGCAATTAGTTCCAACTGGGTTTTATGAATAAATGAAATGGTGTAACCTTATAAATTTGAGAAAATGACTGCAAAAACCACTGGCTAGAGCTGAGTTAGAGAATTAGCTGATATCCCTTCCAGGCCTGTCTTAGATATGTGATGAATGCATTCTGTAATTCTGAATTTCATAATATTTAAATCAGATTAAGTATCTTATTTGTTAACATAAACATTAAAAATGTTTTTAAAAAAAGCTGAGTGGTGGTGGTGCACACTTTTAATCCCAGCGCTTGGGAGACAGAGGCAGGAGATCTCCGTGAGTTTAAGATCAGCCTGGTCTCCACAGTGAGTTCCAGGAGAGCCAGGGCTACACAATGGGGAAAAGAGCTTTATTATTTTTTATGATAAAAACATTAAAATACTTTCTTCTAGTTTTTGAAATATACATTACATTATCATTCTCTAGGCTCATGCAACCGGGCAGTAGGGTGAACAATAATGCATATAATAGTAAGACTGCAAAATCTTATAGAAACTCCAGTTGTTTTTATTTTTATTTGATTTTTGAGAAACTGGCACAGTATTTTCCACAGTGTATGCACCATCTGACAAAATAGAGCACCCATATTTAGTCACAACATTACTTTCTTATTATAACTGTTAAAAGTTGATCTTAAATTGTCTCTTAAGTTTTAGGGCTGTTTTCTCTCCATAGGAGAGAAACACAATTTGGAGATTTCATCTCTTTAGGTTGCAACTTTGTTTTCAAGACTTATGCATGTCCTTATCAACCTCTTTCCACACTCACCCTGACAGTGAGGGAGGTGCCTATGATGTCGTCGGTGATGATGGAGAACCGCATCAGGCCATTCTCCCCAGTGGTAGCATTTGAGTGATGGTTTGCTTCATCTGCTTCAATAAAGACCATTTCATGTGGGATAGGGATGCCTTCCCCATCCACCAAGCGCACCTGAAGGTTAAAAGCAAATGTCTATCCCTCACAGTCCCAGGCACTGTGGATATCATCAAGGGGCTACAGGGTGGTAAAAGGAGGCTAAATAAACATACAACTAATGTAAACTAGTGGGCACTAATCAACCCTAGGGAGATAAGTATGAGTGTGAGGAGATACAAAGCAACAAGAATAAACAGGAGTGACTTAGCAGATGCATTGTGGCTCATTTGCAAAGACTGTGCTACATAACTCACAGAGAGTTATAGAAAATAAGAGCTATATAGTGATTAAAAAAATTTAGCTCAGTTGTCAAATTATTATTATTTGAGCCTCAGACACTAATCTTGTGGTAGACAAGATAACGTCCTATGGCTTAATGTTATGGAGTGTCATTATGCATGCAAGCAAAGAATTCTAATACAGGTCCCATATGCTTCTCCAGTTGACTTATATATGCACCTGCTTCTCGTCCTAGATGGTCAGTCTTCTGGAAAACAGGCAGACTTGATGATGTGCTTCCCACATGACAAATGTAAAATTGGGGAGACACACTTAGCATTGAATCAGGTTTTAAAGCCTAATTGTAATACTGAACTCGGCAAAATAAATGAATAGATGACAGACAGACAGATAGATGATAGATAGATAAATTAAAAAACAACCTACTCCATATTATAAAGTTGGTGACTTTTTTTTACGATAAGTTACTTTGAAAATAATTTTTTGTTGTGAGTTTCACCTTTAATGGCTGAGCTGTCTCTCTAGCCCTACTTTGAAATTTTTTGAAATGCTTTTTATTTTTAATTAACACATAGTACATATTTATAAAGTCCAATGTGAAATTTCAGTACAGATGCAAACAGTGTATAATGATAAGGTTAAGATAATTGGCATATCACTTGTGCCATATATTTGGTAGCAGAAAATGAAACAGGCTGACATGTATCAGTATTCCTAACTATCAATAAAATCTAGGTTTATCAAGAAAATGTCAGCTTCATGTGCTAGCACAAGAATGGGCACACAACTTCACTCTTTGGTCATCTGCTAATAGAGTCTTACGACAGATAGTAATTTCCCAGCATTAAATTAGAAACACTGTAATATACATCTGAAAAGATTTTAAATGGACTACACTTTGATTTTAGAAAATGGTTACAGTTTCTGAACATGTTCTGCCGCCATAATATAGTGGAACTTTTCACAATGTACTCTGTTTCATTTAAGTCCTGTCCTGTCTTTTACAGCCTCCACAGAGAAGCAACCTTTTCACTAAAAAAACACAATACACAGTAGTTACACACTGAGCTGGATGGACACAACTGTCACCTCAGACTTCTGGAGTCACAAAGATCATTTACACATCTGCTTACAATAGAAAAATCATAATAGAAAGTTGTCACAGGTCTGCAAGAAAGGTCATTATGAAAGGCTAGAAACCTCAAACAGTGCTTTATCTCTATATTTAGGGCTATTTAAAATATGTATTTGTTCTTACAGAAAGCTAATGCTAATATAATATTTATGAAAAACCCTAGGCACAAAGGAAAAGCAGCCTGTATATCCATTTCCACACAGAGTCGATGTTAGAAGGATAATGTGACTTGTCATTATGAATTTTGACAGAATTAGGGGATAATGTAGTAAAAATCTGCTGGTAGACCATGAAAAGACTTACTGATTTCAAGCAATGTTGTTCTAAAAATGATTTTAAAAAAACTTATCAACTTGATAATCCTTTAGGATAATTTTAGAGACTTCATATAAAACTTTAAGACAAAAGCATCTATTTTTGTAAATCCTAACTTTTGGTTATATAATAGACATGTGGTTATAGTTTTTCCTTTTGGCTACATTGGTTGACAGCACTAACAAGGTACAATTTTAGCAGACATTGTACCCATAATGTGAATTCTGATAGCACATGGCTTGATGGATTGAAAAATACTCAACCTGTCCAACAAATGGGATTCCTGGTCTGAAATGTGGGTCCACATTCACAAATGACAGGTTGGTTAAGATTCTTGTGATTTTAGTGAACCCTTTTCCAGTTCCTTCCACATCTGAAACAGAAGGGGAAAGTTTCTTTTATTGAAGGCCAATATCTGTGAATTTCTTATGTCATTACTTCTCTCCTTACAGTTCATAATTTGGCCCAAGAAAGAAATCAATGTCATTTTCTTCCCCCACAACCATGCAACACACAACCTGTTCCGTGTTCTTGGATCTTGGCATTCACTTCAAGTTGCATCTCATACTCTTTCCTCTTTAGCTGGAAAGCCTTGGTTTCCACTAGCTGTGAGAAGCAGCCATCGTCATTTAGCTAATAAGAAAGAAAATAAAACATAATGCATATTATACTGGATATATCAGTAGTTGGTCGATCTGGAAGAATTTAGGGGGAATGATAAAATAATCTAGGCATTTTATATTGTATTAAGACACATTATGCACTGTTCAGGAACTAATTATTGGTAATTTCATAATAATATCTTGTGTATAATTGACAGATATAACTCCTCACTGCCTGACATTCCCTGGAAAGAATAATTGAGAAGTATGCTAATGGTTTGGGTAATCTTACTGCAACAGAGCTAACACTTCTCCAAATGCTGGGTCCCCTCCCATGGCAGACAGCTGGTAACTGGTCATCTCTCTGATGGCTATCTCACTTCCCTGGCATCTAGATGGGGCGTTGTAATAGGTTCTTGCTTTTAAGAAAGAAAATAGAACTGACACTCTTCAGGGTCAAGGTGATTTAAAAGATGTGTGGCATGTCTTCTTCTTTTACAGAAGATACCTGGAAAGGCTTTGGATGGCTTGACTTGTTCTTCTGGAACAAGTACATTGGGTAATAGCAAAAGACCAGTGATTATTTTTTAGCTAAGTCATTTTTTCAAGTTTCTTAAAGGTATAGAATTTCTCCCTGACTTAGCACCAGGTTGCCATTAGCAAGCAATGTGTTTATTGTTATCTCCCAGAAGGCACAGCCCTGAGCCTACCTGATGACTGAATGTCTCACAGAAAGCCATGGACTCTTCACCAAAGCAGTTAGAAGGATGACTGTACTTTCTGCAAATGTTCACAGTCACGTGTCCTGGAACAGGTTTCCCATAGGTGTATCTGCCATGAGAATGTTGCCAAATGACTCAAAACAAGCACTGGGTATCCCTGTTGCTTTCTTCTGCAAGTCCCCTTCAGCTACAGCACATCTGTTCTCAGTGTTTCTGTCTGCCTGTGCTGAGGTCACTCGTTACACACTGGAAGCCGACAAAGTCACTGTGACTCAGAAAACCTCCGTGCCACGTGCTGAAGTTCACGCCACTCTTCTTTTATCAGTTTTTTTAATCTTGAATTTTTTATTATAAGTTAATTTATTTTGAGACAGTTTTATAGCCTAGGGTAACCTTGAACTCACCATCCTCTTGCCAGAGCTTCCATTGTGTTGAGATTATAGGCATATACCACTGTACTCCGTTTTTAACTTTAAAATTCCAGTATAGTCAGTCTTTAGAAAGGTGTTTTTGTTACAAAGGCTGACTAGATTGTTTCATTTAAAAATTTTTAAATTAGGGCACACACAGTATTAGGTTTCATTATGACATTTTCAAACAGCAATTTTTTTTATTCTACCCCAATTTTTCTTGCCCATTTCCTTCCTCTCTCCTCTCCACTTTCAGGCCACAGGTATTGTCTTTTTCTTCTTTTCCCTTCTCCTGGTCTCATGTTGTATGCCCACATTCATGCCCTACTTATATGCACTCACATGAGCATTGCAAGCTAGGATCCACACATGAGAGAGGATGCATGATTTTACATTCTTAAGAGAAAAGTAATACCAACATACACAAAATAAACTTAATAGAAACTACAAACATTTTCAAAACGACTGAAGAATCCAAACTATCAAAATGTGTCCTCAGTATAAATCTCTATGTATATGCTTGTTTACTTTTTATAAAAGGAATAGGGTTGTGACATTAATGTCACATGTGATTATTTTGTTTTCAAGGGTATTTGTTTCCTGCCCTATTTGGAAATTTAAAGTATCCCCTGCCTCTGTCTGCAAGAGCTGTGGTCAGGTGTTACAGGGAACTCGGAGGCCATGACTCCAAAGGAGCTGATAGCATGTGTGCCACATGTAAAACCTCAAGGCAGCACTAGTCTTTCTGCTTTCTGTTCTGTTAGTGCCACTACAGGTCTCTGGGGGCTTAAGATCCTTCAGACATTTCTGGATTCAAAGGGACCATCCTGAAAGAACATGTTCAAGATCTCAGTGAAAACGGCAGTACAGAGAGGGAGGTGACAGCCCAAAGCAGCCTGATGAGTTAGGTATGATTTTGATTCTGAACCTACTCTCGTTACCCACTGTTTGCAAGGCCAAATAAGTGATCTGTTACTGACTGAAATTCCTTTAGAAGCGTGCATTATCTCCCTCCTAAGTGTATTGGCATCACTTATGGCTACGGGGAAAGCCAGGGTCCTTCAGAACACTTGCATGCGTGCGAGTGTGCGAGTGTGTGTGTGTGTGTGTGTGTGTGTGTGTGTGTGTGTGTGTGTGTGTTCAGCTTTCTCCCTTGCAGAGTCAATCCCAGCTGTGTGGCCTCTCTATAAACAGTCCCCACCTCATGACAGTTATAGAAATGTTGATAGAGATATAAAAGAAAACAAGAAGGAAACACAAGAAAGGAACAGGAGAAGAGTGGTCTACAGCTAGGAACACTCCCAAGGTTCTTGAAGTCCCCATGCTGCCCCTGCTCCTGGGGAAATCAGCACGAGTGTCTCAAGGGTGACTCTGCTTCCGAGAGTGCGGCTGCTCTTCCCATCAACTCACGTGCCACACACCAACACATGGATCTCTTCTTCCATGATGGTGATTGTCTTTGGCACGGTCACTTTCACTTCAAACCTGGGAAGCACTGTGGACCACAATGAAGGAGGTTAGGGGTCGCTCTTCAGATCTGAAGGCTTGACTATGTTCTAGTTCTTTGTAACAATTCCCTAACGATATTCTGGCATTTTGTAAAGGCAACTTCATTCTCCAATGTATCCACACTTACTTCATTCTCAAATACAGATTTTGATGAAGGCACTATGAGAGTTCACTGTGACCTTCAAGAGTCTCTCTGTCTCTCTCTCCACTTCCCTTCCTTTCTTCCCTCCCCCTCTCACTACTGAAACAATATTTTATTTTGGTCATTCAGTATTGCTACAAACAACTACACTAAATGAAATCTTATTCACAAAGAACTGATGCCCCATTGGACTTAAACGTAATTGATTCTACTCCAAGCCCAAAACAATCCACAGGAAGCAAAAGGAATTTGAACAAACTCAAACTATGTGCTCTAGAGGTCTCAGCTCTGAAGGACATGATTCCATGATTTTCCATGATTCATACCAAATTCCTCCACGGAGAAGGAGTGCTCTACAGTCCTGCCTGTTTCTGTCCATACCACCACCTTGTAGGAGCCCTCAGGGGGCTCTGAGGAGAGGGGGAAGGACAACTGTTTGAGGCCACGCTCTAACTTGAAACTCTGCCATTGTTCAATGCGATTTCCATTGGGGTCCTGTAATAAATTAACCATAATTCATAAAAGTGCAAAGAACATCAGAGATTATGAAAGAAATCTATGAAAGCTTCCATGTTATCCATAAAGAGGGTAAATGAGAAGGGCTCAGAGTGCAGATGAGTTCCAGCCGTCCATTCCTGGGTTGGCTGGGAGCTTCTCCCTTTCCCAAAGTCTCTGGCATATTATTGTAAGAAGTGCAGAAAGAAGGTTTCCCCTGAAATAACTGCTTTTCTTCTGTGGACCATTTGCATTGCTTACCTGAATGTACAGTAGAGGAATCTGAAAGAAAAGAAAGAATTGTATAATGTTCTCAAATATGTGGAATAACTCAACATACACACATATATCTGTATATATAGTCTACCAAATTAAATTTTACCCAAGTTTTAATTAATTCATTTCAAGCAGCTAATAGGTGATATTAAGAACTTATTAGCCATGGATATATATTATGTGCTATTATTAGAAATAGGGTTTACTAATATTATCTAAAAGCTTGCAGCATCCTAGTTAAGAACATTCCCTTGTTATGCAACTTTACAGACTAAAAAATAAATGCGTGGTGCTGGAAGTAACTATTCTTGAACCCAATTATTAATATGCATCACTAGGTGCTTCTAAGAATGAGAAAGGGTAGGATATAATAAGAATAGGAAAGGGATATTTATTACATATCTACTTATATGCTGTGTGTCATTCTAGATGCTGAGAACATAGCAGAATAGAAAAGAACAATATGTCTGTCTGTTCTCATTCTAAGGATGAAAGGATAGATGGAAAAACAAAACACACACACATATGATGACATCATATATAAGGTTTGATATATATATGTGTACATATATATATATATATATATGTACACATATGCACACATATGCCTGTCACACATATATTGCACATACATGTTAACCTGACTGAGTGGTAGATATCATATTTGATTTTAGGTAGAGTGAAAGTAGAAGCTGAGAGACAAATATCAAGGTTACTGCAATGGTCTTGTTTACAGATGTTGGTCAAGTTGTAAAAATTCAGGTAGTAAGAAATAGTACTTTTTCTGAGCCTACATGATTTTGTGTGAAGTACATATAGATGTGAGAGACAGAAAAGCCAGGGTCATGGCATCTCCTTTTGTCTTTGGAGTTAAAAGAGAATTGATTCTTTTTTTTTCTTTTTTTTTTTTTTTTCTAGAGCTGAGGACTGAACCCAGGGCCTTGCGCTTGCTAGGCATGCGCTCTACCACTGAGCTAAATCCCCAACCCCGAGAATTGATTCTTTTAAAGATGGGAAGATGTAGTGGAAAACTCAACTGAGAATGGAGAGTTGGTCTGATGCATTGTGGTAGAAAGATGTGTGAATCCTCACAAAGGAATAAATTTAATACTCCCAACTTCTTTCATAGTGGAAATTTCAGTGTGTCTGAAAAAAGATTTAAATCTCTAAGAAATATTTGAACTTCGATCTTTGGACAGCTGTCCATTGTTTATTTTCTTACTCTTCCTATTTAGAAACTAAAGGGTAAGTTTAATTATGACAAGCAACTGAGTGCCAGTCATGACAGAACACTTCCCCTACTGTTTGACCTGGGATAGTGTTTTAAATGAAGACCCTTTAGTCTTGCAAGGTGAGAAATCCCTGGTAGTGCTATTCAACACTTCCTTCCTCAATAACCCAAACAGAGTCCTAGCCAGTTCATACAAACAACAATGATTTATGTAAATATTAGGAGACTTACCAATTCATTAAGGGGGTGAAAATGGTTATCCAATGAGACAACACGAAATTTCACTGAAATAGAAATATTTTTGATGAGCCACTGACCAGTCCTATAGGGGGGCAACAAAACTATTAAGGAACCAAGGTCACAGGGACTGTGAGGAACAGGCAGAGGGAAAAGAGTTTCCTTTTTGATGCTGTCCTGACTGTGGACCTCACTGTACCTGTCTGCTCTGGTTTGTAGACAGGTTTGTCAGTCTGGACAAAGATCAGACTCTCTTTATTCTTAGTTAGCACTGTGTTCCGCTTCCTGAATTCCTGAGTTGGTCCTTTTACTTGGACAGTGAGGAACACCACCTCATTGGACAAAGACTGTGGGATCTGAAATATGGAAGAGAGTCTGAAATGGAGTGAGTTTCTCCAGCCTCCTCCTCTCCCTGTTCTACATCTCTATGGAGATCTCGACCTTTTTGATGAATTTCACCCCCTCATTCTCGTTCTGGAAGTTGGCGTATGCAGGAATTCTGACATTTTACAAACGGGAAGACCTCCGAGCATAAGGTAGAGAAAATACACTAATAAGAAAAGTTGTGACTGGGAATCTCATCTTGATTTGTATGCAAAATACAGTGAAGTCTGGACTCAGTTACACACTATGTTTGACCACGTAGTTATATACTAACAGGACATTGTAGAAACAAGTCTTCAGGGTCTTAACACTATGGAAAAAGAAAGTATTTTGTTAGGACTAGATTACAAGTGTTCCTCCGTGTATCCAGCACTGAAGAGATTTTGGACACATGCCCAGGGTGGTTTCTACAGTTTTCACTCTTAGAAGAGTATGAGGTATAGGAGGTGGCTTATGATTAACCTTGACCTAGTTTGCTTTATAAACTTTAAGACATAATTTTAACTCTAAGTAAAAGTCACAGTTGCCCCTTCTCTACTGCATGCTGTTGGTTCTTTTTTAGACTAATAGAATTTTTCTTTGATCATTGAATTTATTTTCAATATACCTATAATACGTAGGTGAAACAGATGAGGTGATACTGAATCTCTATACTTGGTTGCCACCTTTGAATTCCTTATTGAACACCTCGGCCCTGCCAGGCCCACTGTCTCCACCCAGTTTGGCAGTACTTCATCTTGGTAAGCCTGGATCCCTACTCTCTGAGTCAAGTGTACATAAGCCAAGCGGCTGCACTCACAGTGAAGGTGACACACTGGAATAAGTCCCTGTCAACCACGAGGTCAGTGAAGAGGCTCTGATTTCCCTGGACAGACTCCATGAAAGCACTCACAGACACCGTCTCGTTTAGATAGCTGAGGAGAAGGCAGCCCTTCTCAGGGGTGCCCGTGTGGAGCAAGGACGGAACCAACACCATGTAGATTCTGGGGATGGAGGAATACAGTTAGAGGAGAGTGAAGGAGTTGCTGCTATCAAAATCACTATGTCCCATCACATTTCCACCAGTTATCACCCATCATCCTTAGTCACACAGCGAGAGAAGACAGACAGTGAGTGGAGAGTCTCTGGCAGTCAGATGACAAAGTCTGTGGGTTCCCAACCTGGATGTTTGCATCGTGTGTGTTTGCCTTTCTAAACATAGAGAAAAGCTCCATTCAAACATAGTCCATCCTCTGGCAACACAGAAGCAGGGCAGACAGTTTCTCAATACCATGACATACGACTCCAGTTTCAAACAGCAACTCTCAAGACCATTTTTTAAATGCCATGCACTTCTTACATACTCTCAAGTTAACTTTTTTATTACATTTTTAAATAAGCAAATATACTCTTTTGACATTCTAAAATAAGGCTTAATTTCTCTTAAATTAGGTTTCAACTTCTCCATAGAATCTTAAATCTTGTAAGTACTATCACCTTTTTAAAAATATATATTGAAAAATATGGTGCTACATGACTTGGGAACCTGAGGCAGGAGGATTACCACGAGGCCTGCCAGGCCAACATAGCAAGACCCTGCTTCCAAAATAAGTAAGGAAATAAATAATAAAATGTAAAAGTTCTTTTTGTAATAGTCAAAAATTCTAATTTCTGTGCTGCTAACTACCTAGAAGTTTATACTATGATTTTCTTATGCTTCAAAATAGCTCATGAACAATTCTTAATTTTTTATTAACAGGTATATACACATATATACTTCTACATGAAATGTATATACCTGTGAGTTACCCACCCTGGATGTTTGATATACCCAACCCATGGGTATGTAAGTGTAACAGTAACTCTTCTTTTAAATGTGTAACCATAACTTTGTGTCAGTGTTTTCTTATGATTGAATTATTTTCAGAAGTTATAATTCACAACTTCCCAAAAAATAAAAATCATGATTCATATATATTAGATTGAAAATTAAAATACTTTCAAAGCTCATCTTATTTAGAATAGTGTCATTCCCCCACCTCCCTACCCCTCAGTGAACATTGATGATCTGTGGTTGGATATTCCTCACGAAAACAAATAACATTTTTCTTTTGTATAAATATAAGCACTAAGAAAAATGGCCACCCACACAAGTAAATGTAGATAATAATTATGTCTTTATCATCATTTCTTGCACAGTCTCTTGTATGACCTGCCTCGGATTACCCAGAGCCAATGCTCCCAAATATTGCTCTAGCTGTCTGTCTGTCAGTCTGTCTGTCTGTCTACTCTCCTTGGTTCTTCCTTGTTTCTTTGAAACACAGACTTCATCACTAGCTGATCTGCACAAAAGTCCTGTTCAGTCACTAAAGTCCTTTACTTTCTCAGCATCAACGTCAACATTGGGAACCATTCCTAGGGAATTGTAAATCCCAGGACAAAGCGCCACTGCGGAGAGGTGTGTCTTTATCAAACAGGGTGAGGAATGTAAAGGAGGCGGCAGGAAGGACAAAGCATCAACAGAGCCACACTATCTTGGGGTTCTGAAGACTTTTAACAGGAGCATCCAGGAAAGTGGTGTGTCACGGGGGGGGGGGGGGGGGGGGGGGGGGGGGGTGTTGGATATTCCGAAATCCAGAGAGTTCAAGAGAAATAATTAAAGCTGTGAATGAGTGATTAATGAGTGAGGGAGGAAGAATGAATGAGGGGAATTTGGGAAATCTCAGAGCTGGAAGGAACCTCACAGGCAAGAAAGAAGGAGATGGTTTTATAGAAAAGGAACGGATACACAGAAGACCCTATATTCAAGCTTCTCATGTTCTGTAGAACTCACGGATTTTGTGATGTGGAGGTGTCTGTGAGCAGCAGAAGCAGCAGCAGCACCGCCAGGCTTGGGTGTGGAAGCCAGTGCTTCCCCATGCTGCAGAAAGGACCGGAGACCCCGCCGCCTTGCACCCTGCTCCCCTCCGTAGATCTGGTCTTGAAGGTGGTGCGGAGCAGCTGGGCTTTCTGCTCTTCGTTGTGCAAACCCACACAAGTTCTCAAAACAAAGCTGAGGTCTTTGAACATTCTCTGAAAGGGTCATTGATGGCCTAATTACTGCCAAGGTTAATGCCTGGCCGGCTAGCCAGAATTCCACAAGGATTAACCACTTCCCAATTACTGCTCACTTTTTCTGGTTTTTACAATAAAGCGGATAATCGGCTTCTCCACCCCCGCAGCCTCCCGCAATGTCTTTTATTGATGCTCTGGGCTCCTGCCTGGATTGGACAGTTGGCAAGGAGGCTGCAGTTTAAGCAGCACCAAGGAGGCTTGAACAGTTCACTCCAAAGGAGTGTGCCAGCAAGTTCTGGGCCACATAAGGCCTGTCTTTAACGTCAGGCCCATGTTCAGCAGCCTCCTGTAGAAAGGATTTTGAGCCAACCTAGTAAGTAGGTTTTGATTTTAGAGATACTATATACTAGGTTGCAAACGAAGCGTCGGAGCCAGGAGAAATGACTGTTTTTAAGTTTCCTAATGCTTAGCTGTGATCCAAGTGCTGGAAGACAGTAGACAGCAGTATCCTGAGCTTGCTGGCCAGTCAGTCTAGGCTAAACAGTGAATTTCTAAGTCTCAATATAAAATAACATTGACTTTAGCCTTCACACACACACACACACACATCTCTACTTTAAGGCAGTAAAAAGTAACAAGTTTCAAATAACTCCCATCTACTGTGCCTAACAAAGACCCAAAGTGTCTTCGCCATCCAACGTTTTTGTCCAGCACTCCCCTCTCTAATCTCTACATCCTATAGACAATTTTATTAATTCATGCATCCACCCACTCATTCTTGGAGCTCCTTGGTTATTTCTAACCATTATTGACCCTCCCTGACTAGAACCTAGCGATGGAATGTCAGATAAGTAGAAGCAAGAATGAACAAAAATTCTAACATTCTTAGGGGGCAGAGGATAGGACAAATTTTACAAGTGAGACAAGTGAAGTAGCCAACCATTATCGTGAGGGAAGCTGAAGACTCCTTGAGGGCAGATACTAGAGGCACAAAGTCCAGATGTGGGCTCCTGGAAACAATTTGGGAGGAAGTAAACATCTGAAAGTAAGCTGTGAAGTGTGAGTGGTGGTTAGCCAGGGGAGGGAGGTGGGGGAGGGGGCATTCTAAGCTTTAGAATGACATCCACATGGAGGAGCTCAGGAGGTTAGAGCAGGAATGTTGCGCTTAATGAAATGAAATGTATTTGTCCTGAAAGAAATGCCTGATTGGTTAGAAGGGTGGCAAAGATAGTTGGCTTTAAATCGAAGAAGAACTTTGGCAATATTAAAGTTCAGATTTGTTCCTTGAAAAGACCAATCTTACTGAAGTATGGAAGGGTGACAAGGAAATAATCCAGAAGATGGCAGAGTGAGCGGGGTGAGTGGAGTGAGTGGCATGGGTTCTATACCAGGGCATTCACGATGGAATTGGAAAGAGGTTGCCGAGTGACAGCCTATTTGAGAGATAAGGTTACAGGGAACAAAACCTTGTTTGTTTTAATTTCCTAGCTAGTCAGTGAGTGAATTATGCTGCCTTAACCGAGTAACACAAGGAACAGACAGGCAGGAGTAGAGGCAAGAACAGAGGGCTGAGCTGAAAGAACACATAGTTTTAGGAAGTTCTGGTGAGGTATCCAAATATTCTATTCTTGGTCTGAATCCTAACTATGTGTCATTACTTACATGTGAATCACCTCTATCCTTAACTATCGATGTCCTGGGTCATAATGCATACCTGGGGCTATATTGTTTCTTTGTGGACAGCATCTTGAAAATATGCACTGTTTCTTATTGTATGCTGAAGTTAAGCTGCCTGGATACCTGAGGTCCCTTGTACAGGCTGTAGGAATGAATATCAATACTCAGAAGATGCTGACAAAAAAAGTCAAAAACCCAAGACAAGGGCACAAGGAACACTTGTCTAAGTGACAGGCAGAGGCAGTCAAATAGAGCAAAAGTCAGGACGAAGGAATCTCAGGAGGGTGAAGGGATCTCTGAGTCCTAAGAATTGTGAATTCATGCCAAGGCATCCATAACAATACCATTCAAAATTAAAAATATAAAGGACTTACTTTATAATGCCTTGATTCAAACTGTACCTAATTTTAGTTATTTTTTTTACATGCTAGAAACAAGCATTTCCAGGGATTATTTCGTAGACAGGATGGACAAAAGTTAGTAAAGTTTACTTGATCACTCATCATAAATTGTGAGGTCACCACTGTCGAGTTTCTGACTGTTTGTGTCCAATGTCACTGTGAAATTAAATTCTAGAATGACAACTATTCATCTAGATTGGGAATGAGAGCATTGAGATCCATCTGTCTCCATGTTTGTGTGGGGCAGAAGCTTCCTACAGGTCCAAGGGAACATGATAAACAGGAGAGAATTTTGCAGTTGATCTGAAAGGGAGAAAATGGCAGTGTATGTCTGTTAGAGAAGCAGAATAAAAGGAAGTTTCCTAGAGAGCAGAGAGTCTGAAACACATTTAAATAAAATATTTCTTCTGTAAATGTGAGTGGGAGCAGCCAATGTAATGCGGGGGGGAACTGTGTAAGGCTGAACTGTGATGTGATGGCTAAAGTAAACTGTCAGCTTGGCAGAATCCAGAATGACCTAGGAGATGGGCCTCTGGACATCCCCTCTTACCTTGGTTACCTTGGCTGAGGTTGAAAGCCCCACCTCTTGCAGGTGGCACAATTCCTTTGACTGTGAAAATGGAGAAAGTAAACTGAACACTGGTCTGCATGCTTAGTTCACTCCCAGGTGGATTTGACTGTCGATGTGATGTGTCCAACTGCTTCATGGCCCTGCTGCTTTGAATTTTCCACCATGTTGTACCCCTAAAGCTCAAGCCAGAATGAGCTTTCTCCTCTAAGTTGCTTTTGTCAGGATGTTTTTGTCACGGCCACAGACAAGAACTTAACACTTGTGTAGAGAAGGAATCATCTCACATGGAGCAGATGTGCTATAAATGTGTATCACAATGGGGCAGTATTCCGTTATAAACCGTAAAGAGATGCTGTCATTTACAATCAATGATGGAACTCCAGAATACCAAGTTAAGTGAAACAAGCCAGTCACAGAAAGACAATAGAAGTCAACTGGAAGTAGAACTATGATTACTAGAGCATGGGAAAGACAAATGGAAGTCTGGAATTGATCTGTACACACTGTGTGCCTGAGTGAATACCAATTAAAAAAATAAAGGCTGTGGATGGAGGGATTAATTACCTCCTGGTGGAGGGACATTCTCTCCTCACATATCCCATTCCCCACATATTCATAAAGAGGAAATGGTTTTCAAACCTATTTCACTTGGAGTGAAGAACTTGAGAAGTGGGTGGAGCAGTCAGTCTCCAGGTCACTGGAGCCTCAGTTCTGAATGAACTGTGTGGTCATGGCCAGCTGGGTGATCTGCTCTGCACCTCAGCTGTCTTGCCAGTGAGTTGGAAGTACCAACATCTGTGCTGTCAGATTCATGGGGATAGTATGGACCAGATGCTTCAGCAGTGATCTTAAAACTATAAACCTTGTTAATCTTTATATTTTTAATGAAAATTAATCTTTATATTTTTAAATCTTAATGGTTGAAAAGAGATTGTTTGTACCTTTTGTGGGTTTTGCTATAGGAACAGTATCCAATACTACTTCCAGGGGAAAAAAAGCACAAGTTGCTTTACCTGAATAGACCACCCTTGGGGGAAAGGGAGCACACGGCCTGGGTGGGTTTTACACAACTTTGAAGAACTTATTGAGTGTTTACAGATAGAAAAGTGAGGTAGTGCTGTGGGATGTTCTGTTTGGCAAATGTGTTGCTGATTAGTCAATAAATAAAACACTGATTGGCCATTGGCTAGGCAGGAAGTGGAAGGCTGAGTCAGAGAGACACTGCCAGCCGCCACGACGAGAAACAGCATGTGAAGATGCCGGTAAGCCACGAGCCATGTGGCAAGGTATAGATTTATAAAAATGGATTAATTTAAGCTGAAAGAACAGTTAGCAAGAAGCCTGCCATGGCCATACAGTTTGAAACCAATACAAGTCTCTGTGTTTACTTGGTCGGGTCTGAGCGACTGTGGGACTGGCAGGTGATAGAGATTTGTCCTGACTGTGGGCCAGGCAGGAAAACTCTAGCTACAAGGTAGGGTAATTGAAAGTAAGCAAATAAGGAAGGCAGTTCATGGAGCAGAAAGTAAGGGTGCAGAACACAAGAAGAATATTTGGGAGTTGAGAAAACAACAACAACAACAAGATTAGGAGACAGGCCTTAATTAAAAATTAACAAGAAAAAACACTTGCCCTCACATTGCAAAAGTACTTACCGGTACTAGAAACTTCTGTGATTGCACTAATATTGCCCAAGACACAAGAGAACACAGAGAACAGATATACAGACATATCTTCTGTTCTTGGTGATGGAGAGGACATTTCAACCATTTATACATTAACTACCTTCAAAATTAGAAAATTAAGTTCGTGACATAGTCACATTCACCAATTCAGAAAGCCTGCAGGCCTGTAGCCAGGAGTGAGGGGCAGCACGTGTCCGCAGTGAGGCTCTCAGGATCAGGCACATTTGTTTGTGCTATCTCATGACTCCCCTGCCATGTTTGGTGAGATAAAAGCAGATCAGTTCCTAGACATTTCTATAACAGTCTTTGCTATGGATTCCCTAAGCCTTTTCACTTAAATTCTATTTGTTTCCTTACATTTCTGAAGACAATTGATACCACCCACTGTGGTAGACCGTACATTGAAATATGGAGGAATTAGTGCCTAGACTAAACCAGTTTAATACAACCAATAAAATTCCACCCCAGTCCACATACTATGCACATTCTTTGAAGCCTTATAGATATGTTTTTGCTTTGTTCTAGATTTAT